CTGCTGACCCTTGGCTCACCCACGTGTTAAAGGGGAATCATTCCATTTGCCGGGCAGGAGTGTTGGAAAGGCTACACAAAATCATGTAGTCATTCAAGCAGCCATTAACACAAACGTATTAAGCCCCTGCTCTGGGCCGGGCTCAGGGAAAATACAGGAATGCAGTCGGAAACATTCAGGCCAGGTTTGGTGGCTCATACCTATAATCCCAGCACATTGGGAGGCTGAGGTGGGAGGATGGCTTGAGGCCAGGAGTTCGAGACTAGCCTAGGCAACGTAGTGAGACCTCCAACTCTCTCTCTTTTTTCTTTTTTTTTTTTTTTTAGACAGAGTTTCGCTCTTGTTGCCCAAGCTGGAATGCAATGACACGATCTCAGCTCATTGCAACCTCCACCTGCCAGGTTCAAGCAACTCTCCTGCCTCAGCCTCCTGAGTAGCTGGGGTTACAGGTGCATGCCGCCATGCCTGGCTAATTCTTGTATTTTTAGTAGAGATGGTGTTTCACCATATTGGCCAGGCTCGTCTCGAACTCCTGACCTCAAGTGATCTGCCCACCTTGGCTTGCCAAAATGCCTGGATTACAGGCGTGAGCCACCGTACCCGGCCCTCAAGACCTCCATCTCTACAAAAAATAGTTTTAAAAAAATGAGCTGGGCGTGGTGATGCATGCCTGTAGTCCCAGCTCCTCAAGGCAAAGGCAGGAGGATCACATGAGCCCAGGAGTTCGAGGTTGAAGTGAGCCGTGATCACCCCACTGCACTCCAGCCGGAGTGACAGAGCACCTTGTCTCTAAAATAATAAAATTTAGTAAACAAGGTAATGAACAAAATAAAGATTGTGATGACTGCTACGAAGGCAAAGAGTGGGTGCTAATAATGGGGATGGGGTGATAACTGCTTTACACAGAAAGTCTGAGGAGGGCAGATTTGAACACCTGTGATTTCATTTGATTCCTCTATCAATGGGGTCGGTATAATTTGTTCTGTTTTACAAATGAGACTGAAGCTCAAAGAGAGGAAGGGAATTGCTACAGATACAGCTCTTAGATAGTGGAGCTGGCGGAGCATGGTGGCTTATGCCTGTAATCCCAGCACTTTGGGAGGCCAAGGTGGGCAGATCACTTGAGGTCAGGAATTCAAGACCAGCCTGGCCAACATGGTGAAACCGTGTCTTTACCAAAAATCACAAAAATTAGCCAGGTGGGGTGTTGCATGCATGTAGTCTCAGCTACTCAGGAGGCTGGGGCAGGAGGATCACTTGCACCCAAGAGGTGGAGGTTGCAGTGAGCCAAGATCACACCACTGCACTCCAGCGTAGGCAACAGAGCGAGACTCTGTCTAAAAGGAGAAAAGGGGATGGGTGTGGTGGCTCACACCTGTAATCCCAGCATTCTGGGAGGCCAAGGTGGGTGGATTACTTGAGGTCAAAAGTTTGAGACCAACCTGGCCAACGTGGTGAAACACCATTTCTACTAAAATATAAAAATTAGCTGGGTGTATTGGCGGGTGTCTATAGTCCCAGCTACTTGGGAGGCTGAGGTATGAGAATCAGTTGAACCCGGGAGGCAGAGGTTTCGGTGAGCTGAGATCATGCCGTTGCACTCCAGCCTGGGTGACAAAGCGAGACTCCATCTCAAAAAAAAAGGTCGAATTGAGTGGCTGAGTGGATATTATGCTGAGGCTGTCCTGATCTAAAAAAAAGTACTTGGGTGTTTTTTGTTTTTTTTGTTTGGTTTGGTTTGGTTTTTTTTTGTTTTTTTTGTTTTTTTTTTTTTTTTGACAGGGCCTTGCTCTGTCACCCAGGCTGGAGAGCAGCGATGCCATGGTGCCATCATAGCTCACTGCAACCTCAATCTCCCGGACTCGAGCAATTCTCTCATCTCAGTCTGCGAAGTAGCTGGGACCACAGGCGTGTGCCACCATGCCTGGCTCGTTTTTAAATTTTTTTGTAGTAATGGGGTCTTACTATGTTACCCAAGTTAGTCTCAAACTCCTGGGCTTAAATCTTCCTGCCTCAGCCTCCCAAAGTGTTGGGATTACAGGCATGAGCCAGGGTCCCTGACCACACATTTTGTCTTCCCCACTGGCGTGTGCTTTCTGAGGGCACAGCACTGCAGAAAGACTGAGGGGGTTTCGCTTCTGCTCAGGGGATACTGTATGGTGGGCAGAGTTCTTAGCAAAACTTGGTGAGAAGACCAGAGGCTCAGAGAGAAGAAATCTTGCCTCCAGTTTGGTGTTGGTAGGAGTTGAGAGAGGGTTTGTGGAAGAGGTGGAACTGTGGTTTGACAAAGCTTTAAAAAAAGTATAATGAAATATACATAACCTAAAATTTACTGTCTTTTTTTTTTTTTTTTTTTTTTTTTTTTTTTTTTTTTGGAGATGGAGTCTTACTTTGTCACCCAGGCTGGAGTGCAGTGGTGTGATCTTGACTCACTGTAACCTTCGCCTCCTGGGTTCAAATGATTCTCCTGCCTCAGCCTCCTGAGTAGCTGGGATTACAGGTGCACACCACCACGCCCAGCTAATTTTTTTATTTTTAGTAGAGATGGGGGTTTCCCCATGTTGACCAGGCTGGTCTTGAACTCCTGACCTCAAGTGATCCACCTACCTCGGCCTCCCAGCGTGCTGGGATGACAGGCGTGAGCCACCGCACCTGGACATACTTGCAGTTTAACCATGACATTCCTATCATGTTCATCATAAGGCTGCTCGTAGCCCTGGTGCAGACTTGTGAGAATTGCTTATTTCCCATTCCTGGGGAGAGTGTATACAGGTAGAACTTGGGCAGGGCATTCTGGCAAAATCCAGCAATGTTGAAGATCCCCTGTCAGGACCTTGACAATTTCTTCTGGACTGTACTATTTTGTTGGGCATTTGTTGACTTCCAGTTGCCAGTTTATTGTTCTAGAACCACGTGTAAGTGTAGTAAGCTAGAGATGCCGGGGAACTAAAACCTCCATCCAGCAATCTTCTCCCAGTGGCTTATGGGAGTTGGGGTATAAATACCCCAGCTCCCTTGCCCCCAGATGAAGCTCATGGTGATGGTAACTAGCTCAACACAGCTTTCACTGGCAGCTATCCCCTCTCTGTACCACTTCTTTTCTCCTATTTCTTTTATTTTCTTTTTCTTTTTTTTTTCTTTTGAGACAGTGTCTCACTCTGTCACCCAGGCTGGAGTGCAGTGGCACAATCATAGCTCTCTGCAACTTTGACCTTCCAGGCTCAGGTGATAGCTCGGACTGCAGGCGTATGCCACCAAGCTCAGCTAATTTTTTGTGTTTTTTATAGAGACAGGTTTTGCCATGTTGCCCAGCCTAGTCTTGAACTCCTGGGATCAGGTGATCCTGCAGCCTCAGCCTCCCAAAACGCTGCCATTATAGGCATGAGCCACCGCACCCGAGCTCACTTCCTTTCTCTGGGTTTGTGTTCCTTCACTCTCCCAAACAGACTATGTCTGTCTCAGCCTTTGTCTGAGTCAGCTTCTGGAGGAACCCAGACCCGGATGCCCTGACTCAGCACTTTCACTTCTCAGATCCTCTCTGACATTTTTCTCTCATGTGCTCAGAGAGTCACGTGTGAAGATGTTCACTGGTTATATTGAAAAATTAGACATACCCAATTGCCCAGTAGGGAAATGGTTACCTCAGTGATGTATCACCCAAAGTACGAAATACTCTGCTATGGTAAAAGACTCCTTGGGAGGCAGGGAAGAACACTGGGTTCTGGTGCCTCAAACTGCCTGGGTTCCAACCCTGACTCTCCCATTGAGTGCACATAGGCATTGTCTCAGTCTCCATATCAGTTTAATGGGCATGATAGTAGTTCTTTCCTCGAGTATTGTTGTGGAGAGTAATTGAGATACATTTTTTTTTTAAATACAGGGTTTCACCATGTTGGTCAGGCTGATCTTGAACTCCTGACCTCAGGTGATCCACCCGCCTTGGCCTCCAAAGTGCTTGGATTACAGGTGTGAGCCACTACGCCTGGCCACTTTTTTTTTTTTTTTTTTTTTTTGAGACAGGATCTCTGTTACCCAGGCTGAATGGAGTGCTGCAGTCACAGCTCACTGAAGCCTCAGCTTCCTGGGCTCAGGCGATCCTCCTGCCTCAGTCTCCTGAGTAGCTGGGACTACACATGCACACCACCATGCCTAGCTAATTTCTTTTTCTTTCTTTCTTTCTTTCTTTTTTTTTTAAAGATGGGGTTTCACCATGATGGCCAGGCTGGTCTTGAACTCCTGACTTCAGGTGATCCACCCACCTCAGCCTCCCAAAGTGCTAGCATTACAGGCGTGAGCCACTGCGCCTGGCCTTTTTTTTTTTTTTTTTTTTTTTTTTTTGCAGAGACAGGGTCTTGCTATATTGTCCAGGCTGGTCTTGAAATCCTGAGCTCAAGCAATCCTCCCACCTCAGCCTCCCAAAGTGCTGGGGTTATAGGCATGAACCACTGCACCCAGCCCTCAAAGAATTATTAGACAGATTAATTGAGATACATTTTAAGCTCTTAGCACTATGCTCGACATATAGAAATCGCTATAGTATGTTTCAAATTCTGTGTATTAATGTGTATGTGTGTGTGTATGTGTGTGTATAATAGTAAAAGCAAATTATAGAAGTGAGATTGAGGATGAACCCATTTCTGTTAAACACAACAAAGTGTGTCATAGGGTATATGTATAAATGTAATTGATCTGAGAAATGTCTGTAAGTAGGTGCTTCAAACTAATTATGGTGGAACCACTGGAGAGGGAAGATTATGGAGGGCAGAGATAAGAAAGTGGAATTTAGAAATCTTTATTATTTTTTTAAAAATGTATTCATGAATTACTTGTATCAATTTCAAACAGATGTTTATTTTTTAAATTTAAATTGCCTAGTTACCACCCAGAGGGTATGATGGCCTTGGAGACCAGGCTAGAGGGATATTAGCTGCTTAGATGGGCCTAGTCCAGTCCTCAGCGAGGTCTCTGACTCCGATGTCCCCCTCCTTGTCTTCCTGCAGTGTCGCAAGGTGTGTGGCCTGAATGTCTCTGACCGCTGTGACTTCATCCGGACCAACCCTGACTGCCACAGTGATGGGGGCTACCTGGACTACCTGGAAGGCATCTTCTGCCACTTCCCTCCCCGCCTCCTCCCTCTGGCTGTCACCCTCTACGTGAGGCCCCGCCCCTGGGGGGGCTGGTGAGAGGGGCTGCTGGCCCCAGCTGGACTTGACTCTCCCTTCCCCGCCGTCTGCCCACCCAGGTTTCCTGGCTGCTCTATCTGTTTCTGATTCTGGGAGTCACCGCGGCCAAGTTGTGAGTTTGGGCCTGGGCTCTGGCCCAGCTAATTGTTGGGAGGAGGGGCCCCGGGAGCCTGGCATTCAGTCACCCTGGGTTTGGGGGAAGGATAGGTCACTATGGAAATGCTTCCTGTCCCCTTTTCTCCATAGTTTCTGCCCCAACTTGTCGGCCATCTCCACCACGCTCAAGCTCTCCCACAACGTGGCAGTATCCTTTTGTCTGGTGTCCTGTGCCCTGGAGGGAGGGCAGTTGTGGGGAGCTGGGGGACAGGGTGGTGGCGCATGGCCCAGGTAAGGCCTGGGTGGGCTGCAGCTGCGACCCTGGCCCCCCTTGACCTACACCCCCATGGTGTCACCTTCCTGGCATTTGGAAATGGTGCACCTGACATCTTCAGTGCCCTGGTGGCCTTCTCCGACCCACACACAGCCGGCCTGGCCGTCGGGGCACTGTTCGGTGAGAGCAGCCCCGGTGAGGGGGGCGGGCAAAGCAGCAGGAGAGGGTGCAGGGCAGCTGAAACCTGGCATTGTCTCCCCAGGCGCCGGTGTGCTGGTTACCACGGTGGTGGCCGGAGGCATCACTATCCTGCACCCCTTCATGGCTGCCTCCAGGCCCTTCTTCAGGGACATCGTTTTCTACATGGTGGCTGTGTTCCTGACCTTCATCATGCTCTTCCGTGGCAGGGTCACGCTGCCGTGGGCTCTGGGTGAGCAGCTGTGGGGCTCAGGCGGGAGATTCCAGGACTGATGGGCAGGAGGTTTAGGAGGTACCTGGGACAGAGGGATGTGAGGGGTGATCAGTGGGGGTCTTGATTTGATGACAAGTGACAGAAACCCTTCTCAAGCTGGCTTGAGCAAAAAATGGGAACATGTGGGTCACATAACCAAAGAGGCCTGGCAGAGCTGGGGGCTGGGAAGGGAATATTCAAAAGCGTCACAATTTTTTGGCCAGGCACAGCGGTTCACACTAAACATCCCAGGACTTTGGGAGACTGAGGCAGGAGGATCACTTTGGCTCAGGAGTTTGAGACCAGCCTGGACAACATAGTGAGACTCTCTACAAAAAAAGGAAAAAAAAGTAGCTAGGCATGGCGATGTGTTCCTGTGGCCTCAGCTACTCTGGAATCAAGGGCAGGAGGATCCCTGGGGCCTAGGAGTTCCAGACTGCAGTGAGCCATGATTGTACCACTGTACTCCAGCCTGGGCAACAGAGCAAGACTCTGTCTCAAGGAAAAAAGTTTCATAATTTCCAATTTTAACAAGCAGTACAGGTGGGATCTAACGGGCTACCTGGATGGTGACAGCAAGCATGCTCCCTGCAGATGGCTCCAGGGGGATGAATGGAGGGACAGTTTGTGCAGAAGGATAATGAAACCCACAAGGGACACTGAGATGCAAGATACCCAGGGGCCAGCAACAGTGGGAGCTGTGACCACACCCATCCCCCATGGCAGAAGGGGCAGGGAATGGGGTGGCGGAGCCCATTGAGAGCTGGAGGGCTGGAGGCCTGGAGATACACTGAAGAGGGTCGCGGGCCCTGCCAGAGAAACGCAGCAGGGAAGGAATAGGAAGAAACACTCCAAACTCCCGAGGCTTCTGATTTCCTGTCTGGCCTCCCATTGGCTGAACCTGGCTGTAGCCAGAGCTGCAGGGCTGCCTCCTCCCAGGGCACAGAGCGGGACACCGACCCTTAGTGCTCGAATGGGGGCCTGGAAGTCGTTTGCTGTGCCTGGTGTTACCTCCTCAATTGCAAGGGAGACAGGAAGAGAGATGGTCCTGGGAGGCGGGAGGAAGGAGTGGAGAGCTCAGGGAAAAGGCCATTTGCCCACTGGTACCGGGCTGGGCTGACACATATTGCCACCACTAACACACACCAGTGATAGATAGAACTGCCAGCCCTTGTTCTCTGGGCCTGCAGCCAGGACACCACTTGGTGACAGCCTGCGCCCTGTCTGCAGGGTACCTCGGCTTGTATGTGTTCTATGTGGTCACTGTGATTCTCTGCACCTGGATCTACCGATGGCAACGGAGAGGATCCCTGGTCTACTCCATGCCAGTGACTCCAGGTAGGAGTCTGCATCGGACCTCAGAGAGGACCAGCGGGGACTAGGAGCCTCTGTGCCCTTCACTGCTGCCCTGGGTCTCTTGAGGCCATTGTCCCCACCAAGTTCATCTCCTCTTCACCACGTTGGCCAGGATAGCCTCGATCTTTTGACTTCATGATCCTCCCACCTCAGCCTCCGAAAGCGCTGGGATTACACGCGTGCACCACCACGCCCGGCCTCTTTATGCTTTCTCTACTCATTCTGCTCAGGTCCTGCGTCTGTGCTTCCACGGGTGCCCACGAGCATCCTCATCTCCCGCAGGTTCAGGTGCGCTCCTTCTTCCTCTATGCAGTTGCTAGGGTAATTCCTCTAAGAATCAGCACTGCGCCCTGCCCTGGTGTTTCCCACCACTCTCAGGGTAAAACACAAATGCTGCCGTGACAGGGACACTGAGAAATGAAAAATAATTGCAAAGAAATCAACAGTATTCAAACATAGTCATATACACAAAGACATGCACACATGCAAATACATGCACATATATATACAAATACACAAATACATGCACACATATACATACATGTACACACAAATACAACTCACATGCACACACATACATCCAACAGACACATACACGCACACACATACAACACACACAGATATGCAACTCACAAACATACATATACAGATAGACAAATATACAGCTTACACACATAGACATGCACACACATACTCAAATACACAACTCACACATACATGCACACAAATATCTGCACACACATACACCCAACATATACAAATACATGCACACTTACACACATACACAAATGCATGTAAACAACACATAACAAATATATGCACACACGTGACGTGCACACATATAGAAATACATGCTCACACATGCAACACAAATACATGCACACATGTACACAGCACACATACACAATACACACGTATACAGATATGTGTACACACAATACATATATATGAATACATGTACACACGTGCAACACATGCATACACATCTGAAACAAAAACATACATGCACATGCATACACAGGTACACGACACATGCATTCACACACAACACAAAAATGTAGCATGCATCCATGCAGTGCACATATAGAGACATGCACACACTATGCAAATATGTGCACACATGCAACATACACATGCACACACATACAACACACATACACAAATATGTATATACACACACCACACATCAACACATACATGCACATGCAACACAAATACAAGCATGCACATAAACAACATACAAAAACATAAATGCACAACATACACATACACAAATTCATGCACACACATAACACAAACACATGCACATACACAACACACACAAATACACCAGTACACAACATGCAGTACATATGCAGAAATGCATGCACATACACAGCACATATACAAATACATGCACACACATACATAACACACACACACACAACACACTCAGAGGCAGCATCAGGGCTAGAGCGGACTCTGCACTCGAGGAGGGCCGTTTTCCTCACGGGCCCCAGGCCTCAGCATCCATAGGCCTCCTGAGAAGAGAAAAATAGTTTGGGTTCCAGTTTCTGAAAAAGACAACAGTGAAGTCAGTAAATGTCTGAGTTGTGTCTTCAGATGCCCCTGCTAACTTTAGCATTATAGCTGCATGCTTCCATTTGGCCATGTTTGGTGAGTTAGACTTTCTTACTGTGCAGGAATTCCCGAGCACGCATGCAGACTGCCAGAAATCCAAAATAAAGAGGGCCTGGACATGGCCGGAGCAGTGGCTCAGGCCTGTAATGCCAGCACTTTGGGAGGCTGAGGCAGGTGGACTGCTGAGGCCAGGAGTTTGAGACTAGCCTGGCCAACATAGCAAGACCCCATCTCTAAAAAGTTTTTTTTAATTAGCTGGGCATAGTCTCAGCTACTCAGGAAGCTGAGGTGGGAGGATCGAGTGAGCCCAGGAGGTCAAGGCTGCAGTGAGCCGTGATCACGTCACTGCACTCCAGCCTGGGTGACAGAGAAAGCTCCTGTCCCACATAACTAAGTAAATAAGATGGCTGGACACTTGCAGCTTACACCTGCTCTGTCCCAGCGGTGCCCCTCGAGAACGGTCTGGGTTCTGCAGCTGAGCCTCTCTCCTGCAGAGATCCTCTCAGACTCCGAGGAGGACCGGGTATCTTCTAATACCAACAGCTATGACTACGGTGAGTTCACACCCTGTGCTTAGCTAGGGTGGGGGTCCCAGGGCAAGGCTGCAGTGGAAAGATGGGGCACTCCAAGACCTGGGTTCTGGGAACGAGGCTGCAAATCGGCCTTATATCTCACTGCAGATCAGACGAGCCAAGGGCCAGGGTCGCCTGCCCTCTGCTGGGCACTGGGCTTTGCCTTCTCCCCTAGGGCTGGGAGGACTGGTGAGGTGGGAGCAGGGAGGGTTTCCTGGAGGTCAGGTCAGCCGCAGGCACACCTCACCACCCCACCCCTACACGTAGGTGACGAGTACCGGCCGCTGCTGTTCTACCAGGAGACCACGGCTCAGATCCTGGCCCGGGCCCTCAACCCCCTGGATTATATGAAGTGGAGGCGGAAGTCGGCATACTGGAAAGCCCTCAAGGTATTCAAGGTAAGAGGGGGCCTAGTGACAGCGGCAAGACAGTGGCTACTGTACCCTCTCCAGCTGTACGAGAGGGAGGGCCTGGGGTCCGCTGAGACCCTCTCAGAATACATGGGGAAACTGAGGCATGGAGCTTGGCTGATGACTTGACCTGGGGCCCTGCCCTCCAGCAGACCCCAAGGACATCTATATCCCAACCCCTGGAGCCTGGGAAGATGCTGTGGTCACGGGAGAAGGGCCTTTGCAGATGTGATGGAAGATCTGGAGACGAGCCTGGCTTATCCAGTGGCCCAGTGTCATCCGAGGTTGGCCCGGAGAAAGAGGGTGACAGGAGGGGCAGAGTCAGAGGCTGGGAAGTGGCCACAGAAGCACAGGTAGAATGATGTGGGGTCAGGAAGGCAGGCGGCCCCTGGAAGCTGGAAGGACCCTCATGCTCCCCTAGAGCTTCCAGAAGGAGCGCCCCCGGCTGACAACTTAACTGGACTTCTGCCTCCAGAACTGTCCAGGAATACATTTGTGCTGTTGAGAGTCACTCTGTTTGTGGTCATTTGTGCCAGTAGCCAGAGGCACCCAGGTGCTTAGCCTGGGACCTGCATACAGTCAGTGCCCGGCAACAAACGGCCAAGCTCTTGAGTCACTGAAGTCTGTCTGTGGCTGGCTGGGACTCAGGCTTCCCTGTGGACGCCCTCCCACCTTCGTCTCCTTGACAGCTGCCCGTGGAGTTCCTGCTGCTCCTCACCGTCCCCGTCGTGGACCCGGACAAGGATGACCGGAACTGGAAACGGCCCCTTAACTGTCTGCATCTGGTCATCAGCCCCCTGGTCATCGTCCTGACCCTGCAGTCGGGGACCTGTGAGTACCCCAGGCCAACCCACCTTCCTCCTTCTTCCCACATTCTGCAGTTCTCTTCCGCCCACGTTGGAGTGCAGTGGCACAATCTCAGATCACTGCAACCTCCCTCCACCTCTTGGGTTCAAACGATCCTCCCACCTCAGCCTCCCGGGCAGCTGGGATTACATGTGTGGCCACCACACCTGGCTAATTTTTGTATTTTTCATAGAGATGGGGTTTCACCATGTTAGTCAGGCTGGTCTTGAACTCCTGACCTCACCTCAGCCTGAACTCCACCCACCTCAGCCTCCCAAAGTGCTGGGATTATAGGCGTGAGCCACCGCGCTCGGCCAGTGGAGTTTTCGTCTTAGTCACACCAGGGAGGTTTTGGCTAGAGGCGGACTCCTGGACATACAGCAGGCCCTTGTGCCATTGGGGTCACCAGCCTGGAAGTTCACCCTCCTGCAGTCAGTTGGTCCCATCCTGCTGGCCCCAGATGGAGGCTGCAAAACAGGTGACCCCTGGGCCACGTGCAGCTCTCTGGCTTGTTTGCCTGCATTTAAAAATTGGGGGATTTTACATTAAAACCTGATTTTGGCTTCTCAAGATCTGGGCCACATTTCTGAAGGCAAAACTGGCTGGAGCAGAGAAGGGGCACCCGCTATGGGGTGTCTGCGACATAAATCATCACAGTACCCTCCACTGCCTGCTGGGTGCCCCGGGCTGAGCTTCCTTCCCTCGTTTGTGCAACCTGGCTTGTCCCCACTGGCATTCGAATTGTCCCCATCTGCCCCAGAATGCCCTTTTCTTTCTTACCCTTCTATGGTGGAGGAAATGCTCAAGCTTCTCGTCCCCCAACTTATAGCTTCTGCTACCCAAGTTTCTTCCCGTTGTCTAACTTTAGTATCTCAGGCGCCCTGTTTCCTCACTATCATCTGGGCTCCTCCCCCTCAGCCCAGGGCGTCGCTTGGAGGTAGGGGTAGGACTTCGGTGTAGATGCGTGGCTGGGCGTGGCACTGTGTGCTGTGGCAGTGTCACTGGGATGAAACGGCTGCCCTGCCACATTTTCTGTGAATTGTCCCCCTGGTTTATGGGAGGATGAAGGCATGGAGGGAAGGAGACTAGGAAGTGAGATGATTGAGATGGAGTGACTCAGAGCTGAAAAGGGCCACCCCGCAGGGCTGTCTGCTTCATCACAGCCCATTGGAGGCAATCAGTCTCCATCCATTCTCCATGGAGCTGGGAAGCCTTGCCTTTCAGGCCAGGGCAAATGCAGGGACCTGCTTTTCCAAGCGTTGTGGCTTGCTTCCTTCCTTCCTTCCTTCCTTCCTTCCTTCCCCGCTTCCTCCTTTCCTCCCTCCCTCCCTCCCTCCTTCACTCCTTCCTCCCTCCCTTCCTCCCTCCCTTCCCTCCCTCCCTCCCTTCCCTCCCTCCCTTCCCTCCCTCCCTTCCTTTCTTTCCTTCCTTATTTATCTTTTGAGATGGAGTCTGACTGTCACCCAGGCCTGAGTGCAGTGGTGCGATCTCGGCTCACTACCACCTCCGCCTCCAGGGCTCAAGTGATCCTCCTGCCTCAGCCTCCCAAGTAGCTGGGATTACAGGCACCTGCCGCCATGCCCAGCTGATTTTTGTATGCGTTGTGGCTTCTTAAAAGAGTGATTCCCACACATCAGTCATTCACAGACCATCCCACACATCAGTCATTCACAGACCATCTTCTCGATTTTTCTCTTACTCTATACTATTACATTTGATATTTTTCTTTGTTTTTCTTGAGACAGAATCTCACTGTGTTGCCTGGGCTGAAGTACAGTGGCACAATCTTGGCTCACTGCAACCTCTGCCTCTGGGGTTCAATTCTCCTGCCTCAGCCTCCTGAGTAGCTGGGGCTACAGGTACCTGCCACCACACCCAGCTGATTTTTGTATTTTTAGTAGAGATGGGGTTTCACCATGTTGACCAGGCTGGTCTCGAACTCCTGACCTCAGGTTTACCCACCTCAGCCTCCCAAAGCTCTGGGATTACAGGTGTGAGCCACTGCACCTGGCCACATTTGATAGTTTTCTTAAATTAGCTCGTTATGTTGTCCAGGCTGGTCCTGAACTTCTGGGCTCCATTAAGTATTTGGGACTTCAGGTACATACCACTGCACCCAGCTTCAGATTTTTCTTTTAAGGCAAATTTCTTGAAAAGGAAACTGTGTCACCTGCATCAATAAGAAACTGTAGTGAAAATGCATCATTTTCAGTAAATTCAAGGTAACTGCAAAAATAAACACAGTAAAAGTAAACCACCAGCCAGGCACGGTGGCTCATGCCTGTAATCCCAGCACTTTGGGAGGCCAAGGCAGGAAGATCACTTGAGGTCAGGAGTTCGAGACCAGCCTGACCAACATGGCGAACCGCTGTCTCTACTAAAAATACAAAAATTAGCCAGGTGTGGTGGCGGGCATCTGTAATCCCAGCTACTCAGAAGGCTGAGACAGGAGAATCGCTTGAACCCAGGAGGCAGAGGCTGCAGTGAGCTGAGATTGCACTACTGCATTCCAGCCTCGGCGACAGAGCGAGACCCTGTCTCAAAAAAGAAAAAAAATAAATAAACCACCTTACTTGGTCCTCCTGAGTCCAACCATGAGCTGGAAGCCTGTACTAGGGAGAACAGCAGGTGTGTGAGATGTTCAAGTCCTGTTAGCAGCTAATGGGAACTTTCCTTGACGCCATGATGGAACTGAAGAAGGAATCCCTTTCCTGGGACGTGGTTCTGCAGCGGATGGTATCTTGACCACACGGCCTTAAACACCATCTAGTGGTAGCAGGTCCACCGTGGGGAAAGACTGGTTCTGGCTAAAGTACTCTTGACCCTCTTCTGGGCTGAGCACTGTCTAGAGAAAACCCCTGGACTGGCTCTCAGCCCGAGGGGTGCGGTGACTCAAGGTGAGCCTCCCCAGCAGCAGCCTCCAGCCTCCCCCTTCTCCAGGTGTTCCCCGAGAGGCATCTTTGTAAAGTGCTGCTTTTCATATGCTGTGGTCGCTCTTCCACTCAAAGACCTCCATGGCTCCCTAGCGCCTCTTGGGAAAAGTCCATGGCTCTCACTGGACAGTGGCTTGATCTCGGTCCCCTCTAGCCTCTGCCTCCCAGGTTCAAGAGATTCTCTTGCCTCAGTCTCCCAAGTAGCTCGGATTACAGGCGTGTACCACCACGCCTGGCTAATTTTTCTATTTTTAGTAGAGATGAGGTTTCACCATGTTGGCCAGGCTGGTCTCGAACTCCTGACCTCCAGGCGATCTGCCCGCCTGAGCCTCCTGAGTGCTGGGATTACCAGTGTGAGCCACCACACCCAGCCAAGGCCTCGAGACTCTGAGCCCGCTGCCTCCCACAGCCTTTTCTGTGCTATTCCTGGCACGGATCTGCTTGATTCTGTTGTCCCCGACTCCCCGCTTCCCACAGAGCCCTTACACTCCTCTCTGCTTAACACTCAGCTCAGATCCTCAGTGTCTTCACGCCCCAGCCACCTCCTAAAATTCCCCTAGCACAGGAGTGACAAATACATGGAAAGGGCTTCCAACCCAGGCATCTGGATCCAAAGCCAGCACTACAGGTAAAACCCCATGTGGCAAAATTATCTCATGAGCTGGGACCTGCAGTCCCAGCTACTCAGGAAGCTGGGGTGGGAGAATGGCTTGAGCCTAGGAGTTTGAGGCCGTAGTGAGCTGTGATTGTGCCACTGCACTCCAGCCTGGGTGACCCAGTGAGACCTTGTCTCAAAAAAAAATAAATAAAATGAATCCCTTTTGAAAATCACCCGTAATATGTTCCGTACACAATTTTGGGTGTTCAGCCGCTCACATAATTCTTTTTCTTTTCTTTCCTTTCTTTCTTTTCTTTTTTCTTTTTTTTTTTTTGAGATAAGGTCTTACTCTGTTGCCCAGGCTGGAGTGCAGTGGTGTGATTTCAGTTCACTGCAACCTCCACCTCCCAGGACTCAAGCGATCCTCCCACCTCAGCCTCCCAAGTAGCTGGGACCACAGGTGCCCACCACCACACCCAGCTCTCTCAGGCACATAGGAAGTGCCTACCTGGCATCCAAACAGTCCATTCTAAATGGGTGTTATCTGCAGGTCTCAGCCCTAGAACCCCTCTGTCACTCTGAGGCAGCTGGGAGGGTACCAGCTCCGTTTCTGTCCCTTTGTAGACGGTGTCTATGAGATAGGCGGCCTCGTTCCTGTCTGGGTCGTGGTGGTGATCGCAGGCACAGCCTTGGCTTCCGTGACCTTTTTCGCCACATCCAACAGCCAGCCCCCCAGGCTTCACTGGGTAAGGAGCCCAGGCTCTCCGGGTGGGGAGAGGGGATGCTGAGGCCCCCCAGGCAGGTGTCCTGCCTGCGCCTGGGAGGCACTTTGAGCAGTCTGATCAGGCGTCACACAAGGACAGGTAACTGGACTTTAAAGCTGCTCTTGAGAGTTTCTGTATCTGCGCAGGGTTTTGATATGTTTTGGTAGTAGCTTTATTTTGTTGAGGTGTAATTCATATACCATACAATTTACCCATTTAAAGTATACCATTTAGTGGTTTTTATTATAGTTACAGAGTTGTGTAATCATCAGCACAAGCAGTTTTAGAGAATTTCATCACCCCAAAAAGAGATCTCATGCCTATGGGTCACTCTCATTCCCCGCCCCCTGCATAGCCCCTGGCAACTAAGGCTCCACTCTCTGTCTCTATGGGTTTGCCTGTCATGGACATTTTATATTAACAGAATCCTACAATATGGGATTTCCTTGTTTTTGAGATAGAGTCTCCCTCTGTTGTCTGGGCTAGAGTGCAGTGGTGCAATCATAGCTCACTGCAGCCTTGATCTCCTGGGCTGAAGCTGTCCTCCCACCTCAGCCTCTCGAGTAGATGGGACTACAGGTGCAAGCCACCACACCCAGCTAATTTTTGTGTTTTTTTGTAAAGACAAGGTCTCACTATGTTGTCCAGACAACTCTCAAACTCCTGGCCTCAAGCAATCCTCCCGCCTCGGCCTCCAAAAGTGCCAGGATTACAGGTGTGAGCCACCTCGCCCCGCCTTGGGTTTCTAAAGACTTTCTAAGGGTAGAATCGTATGGCCTTTGTGGGTGTCTTTTTCCATTTTCTCTAGTCTAGGCAGTCTAAGGAATATTTAGGCAGTTTGTCCAGAGATTTTTTTTTTTTTCCTTAAGAGTTTACTTAAAGCCGGGCGCGGTGGCTCATGCCTGTAATCCAAGCACTTTGGAGGCCAATGTGGGTGGATCACCTGAGGTCAGGAGTTCAAGACCAGCCTGACCAACATGGTGAAACCCCATCTTAAAAAAAAAGAAGTTTACTTAATATTAAATTAGCTGGGTGTGGTGGTATGCGCCTATAATTCCAGCTACTTTGGAGGCTGAGGCAGGAGAATCACTTGAACCCAGGGAGACAGAGGTTGCAGTGAGCTGAGATGCACCATGGCACTCCAGCCTGGGTGACAGTGAGACTCCATCTCAAAAAAAAAAAGAAAAAAAAAGTTTATCTAGTATTTTTATTTTGGCTGGGTGTGGTGGCTCACTCCTATAATCCCAGCACTTTGGGAGACCAAGGTGGGTGGATCACCTGAGGTCAGGAGTTCGAGACCAGCCTGGCCTACATGTCGAAACCCTGTCTCTACCAAAAATACAAAAATTAGCCAGGTGTGGTGGCAGGCACCTGTAATCTCAGCTACTTGAGTGGCTGAGGCAGGAGAATCGCCTGAACCCAGGAGGTGGAGGTTGCAGTGAGCCGAGATCCCGCCACTGCATTCTAGCCTGGGTGACGGAGTGAGATATCATCCTAAAAAAAAAACCGTTTACATAAAATTTTCATTTTTTAGTACTTAATGATTTTTAAATATTTTAGTTTTTACTTTTAGAAACTCTCAGTGAATGTACTAACCGAAGGGTGTTGACTTTTAAGCAAATGGATCATTTAGGGAAGTTGCCTTTTACTACTTAGGGAAAATTGTCTTTCACTATTTTTTCAAGTACTGATGTGTGCCACAATGTGGATGACCCTTGAAAACATGCTGCTGAGAGAAGACACTAGCGGAGGGTCACACACTGTGGCATTCCACTGATGTGGAATGAACACGAGGCAGAGAGCAGAGGCAGAGAGCAGAGTAGGGGTCATGTTGGGCTGGTGGGGTGGGGTTGGGAGTGTCTGCTAATGAGTTACAGGGATGCTTTTTGGGATATTGGGTGGTATTTGGTTCAGACTGGAAATCTGTTGAAAGTGATAAGAAACCCTTTCCAGACAAAATAATATATATATTTTTAATACATGAAAGGGAGTTTTTGTTTTGTTTTGTTTTTGAGACAGAGTCTCACTCTGTTGCCCAGGCTGGAGTGCAGTGGCATGATCTAGGCTTACTGCAACCTCTACCTCCTGGATTCAAACAATTCTCCTGCCTCAACCTCTCCAGTAGCTGGGATTACAGGCATGTGACACCATCCCAACTAATTTTTGTATTTTTAGTAGAGACAAGGTTTCACCATATTGGCCAGGCTGGTCTCAAACTCCTGACCTCAGGTGATCCACCTACCTCAGCCTCCCAAAGTACTGGGACTACAGGCGTGAGCCACCACACCCAGCCTGAAAGGGAGTTTATTAAGGAAAAAAGAAAATAATATTGAACTCACGTTTTATTGAGTGCTTACTATGTGCAGGCACCAATGCGTATAGTAACATGTTTTATGCTCATAACAAACTCATGAGGTAGATGGTATCATCCCATTTCACAGGTGAGGAACTGAGGCTGTGTTCCTGTTGGGGCTGGCCTTGGTCCCATCAGCAAATCATTCCCTCTGCAGCTCTTTGCTTTCCTGGGCTTTCTGACCAGCGCCCTGTGGATCAACGCGGCCGCCACAGAGGTGGTGAACATCCTGCGGTCCCTGGGCGTGGTCTTCCGGCTGAGCAACACCGTGCTGGGGCTCACGCTGCTGGCCTGGGGGAACAGCATTGGAGGTGACTCGGGGCCGGGTGGGGTTGAGTGGGGGTGAGCGCAGCCACATCTTAGCCCTGTCCTCCCCCAGCCAGAGTCGCATCTGGGCAGGTGTCCAGGGTGTCTGCCCTCTGCACCTGTGCACTGTCCCTGTCACTGTGGAGTGAACAGCGTCGGGGTGAGATAGCCCTGACTACAGTTGAACCAAGAAACTCTGTAGAGGTCCCTGCCTCTTCCCCACCCTCTGATGTGGGGATACTCGGTGGCTCCCAGAGTTCAGGCCGGACCTGGAGCCCATCGCGGCCCACCCTGCTCGATGTGCACGTGGTGTGTGACATGCAGGCATTCACACTTACATAACATACATGCGTACATACACCCTTCCCTAGCTGCAGCAGCCAGGTACGGTTGGCCAGGTTTTGCACTGCTCGAGAGCGTCGGGACAAGAGGATAAGGGAGCTGAAATCTAGCCCTCGCCTTTTTGGGCACTTCTTCTAATTCACGTGGAGGTGCTGTGCATGTTAGCAGCAGACGAGACTTTGAAAAATTGGTAGCCTCGTTTTTCATACCCGCAAAGTCATTCTTAGTGGGAAAGAGTGGGGTAAAGGAATTAAGGAGGGAAGTGTGCCTTCCCAGATGCTGTGCCCGCTCACACAGCACCCCAGCAGCTAGTGCCCAGGCCCACGTGGGCATCCCTCCGTGTTTGTTGCCTGAATGACGGTGGGTGAGAATGAAGGCGTGGCTGACCCGGGAGGGCCGAGGAAGCAGCGACTCACCACTGCAGGGCCCTTTGTTCCCATGCAGATGCCTTCTCGGATTTCACGCTGGCCCGCCAGGGCTACCCGCGGATGGCGTTCTCTGCCTGCTTTGGCGGCATCATCTTCAGTATCCTTTGAGGTCTGTTCTTGGCCTTAGTGCTGGTGTCACAGCCACGGGTGGGGGGTGGTCTGTGCCCCACCCTGGGGACTGGCTCTCGGTGTAACACCTGGGGCAGGTAATGTGGCTGCCCGGGCCTCAGGCTCCAAGGCTTTAAAATAGGGATTTGGGTCAGGCTCGGTGACTCACGCCTGTAATCCCAGCACATTGGAAGGCTGAGGCAGATGGATGGATCACAAGGTCAGGAGCTCAAGACCAGCCTGGCCAGCATAGTGAAACCCTGTCTGTACTAAACATACACAAAATCAGCTGGGCGTGGTGGTGGGTGCCTATAATCCCAGCTACTCAGGAGGCTGAGGCAGGAGAATCGCTTGAACCCAGGAGGTGGAGGTTGCAGTGAGCTGAGATTGCACACTCCAGCCTGGGCTACAGAGCAAGTCTCTGTCTCAAAAATAAAAAAATAAAAAAAGTAGGGATTTGGGGAGTGCTGACCTCCTAGGGGTGTTGTTAGGATCCAGTGAGGTAGATGAAATTCTTGGCCCCTGGTAAGAAAGAGCTCAGCAGACGGAACTATTATTGTTAGGACACTGGTGTGATAGGCAGGTGCCCGCAGGGTGGGCCTGTGTATCTTATGGAAGACCCTGTCTCTCTTGCTTATAGGGACATGCCATGGCCTATCTTAGGGGTTGGCAGACTTTTTCTAAAAGGGCCAGATAATCTTTTATTTTTATTTTATTTTTTTTGAGACAGAGTCTTGCTCTGTAACCAGGCTGGAATGCCGTGGCACGATCTTGGCTCACTGCAACCTCTGCCTCCAGGGTTAAGTGATTCTCCTGCCTCAGCCTCCCCAGTAGCTGGGACTGCAGGTGTGTGCCATCATACCCAGCTGATTTTTGTATTTTTAGTAGAGACGGGGTTCCACCATATTGGCTCGGCTGTTCTCAAACTCCTGTCCTCAAGTGGTCCGCTGGCCTCAGCCTCCCAAAGTGCTGGGATTCAGGGGTGAGCCACGGCACCCAGCCCAAAGAATAAATATCTTAGACTTTGGGGGTCATGCAGGCGGTTTTGTAGCTGCTCAACTCTGCTGCTGTAGTGCAGAAACAGGCACAGACAATCTGAACGTGAATAGGCATGGCTCTGTTCCAATAAAACTTTATAAAAGCAGTTAGTGGCCTAAATTTGGCCAGAGGGCTGATGTTTGTCAACTTTTGGTCTATATAGAAAAGATAGATACAGCCAGCCTGGGGCTGTGGAGAGAAAGAGCTTTGAAACCAGATGGTCGTGGGTTCCAGACAGTGCGCAGCACACAGCAGGCATTCGGCCAGCAGTGGATACTATTGGCTGCTAAAGAAAGAAAGATGATCGCAGAGCGCCTGAAGTGCAGCTCTCCACACTCCACGGTGACAGCCTTAGCAGGGGCTGCGGTGTGAGCAGCTGGCCAGCAAAACACAGGCTAACTGCGGGGTACCTGGATGCCTGCTCTTTTAACTCCCAGGTGGAGCAGGGACCTTGGTGGCCCTTTTGTTCCCGCTGAGGCTTCCTCCTGGCTTTCGGGCTATAGCCTCTCCTGACCTTCACGGTTAGCTGGGGAGGAAGCCCTGAATGACTCCTAGAGATGGCCTTGACCCACACACTATCACCAGTTCCCTCTAGGGACCGGGCAGTCCCTTCACCTCTCCTGGCCTCAGTTTCCCCACTTGCTGAGTGCTTACATGTGCCAAGCATTCCTGGCACCCTAAGGTATTCGATCCTTAGAGACTGAGCAGAACTTGTATTCAATACCCATCTTCTTAAAGACCTAAACAGAGAGGGTCTCCTCAGATAGGGTGTCTGGGGTGAAGTGGGAGTTGGGCATTGATCATAAAGCCAAATAAGTTCATTCGTTTTTTTTTTTTCTTCTTTCTTTTCCTAATTTTATGTTTTTAATTTTTGTAGGTCTGGGCACAGTGGTTGACACCTATAATCCCAGCACTTTGGGAGGCTGAGGCACGATGATCACTTTAGCCCAGGAATTTGAAATTAGCCTTGGGCAACATAAAAAATTCTCTACAACAAATTCTAAGATTAGCCAGGCATGGTGGCCTATGCCTGTGATCTCAGCTACTTGGGAGGTTGAGGTGGGAGAATCACTAAGCCGGGGAGTGAGATCACACCACGGCACTTCTCTACCCCCACCCCTTCCCCCGCCGAATCATTTTTTTGAAACGGGTCTCACTCTGTTGCCCAGACTGGTCTCAAACTCCTGGCCTCTAGTGATCCTCCCACCTCAGCCTCTCAAAGTGCTGGGATTATAGGCATGAGACACTGCGCCTCATTTTTAGCAGTGGCATCCCAAGCCCCGGGGCTGAACGCAGTAGCGGGGAGGGGCCGGGTGGTTGGGTTATGTGCAGGCCATTCCAGCAAAACTTCCTGAGCTGGGCTGCAGACATCCTCGTGGGCGTGGGGCTGGGCTGCCTGCTCCAGATCTCCCGGAGCCACGCAGATGTGAAGGTGAGTGGCAATGGGGCCTCATCACGTGCTGGCTCTCCATCCTCCTCGGCCCTCTGGCAGGGGAGACCATTCCCATCTCGGCAGTTTCCACTCTCTGGAAAAGGGGACTTGTCTGTTCATGGCAAGTCTGGTTTGTAGAATATTTTTAAAATATTTTGCATATAGGGTTGAAAAAAATGTTTTCCTGGTAAGTTCATAAGAGTATGTAACCAAGATGTAGCTTGAGGGGGAGGGGCAGGAAGGTCCTGGGTCTGGATCTGGGTCCCATCACTTAAATCCCTGGTTGTATGACTTAGAAGTGAGCTAGGATCTAGGCCAGGTGCAATGGCTCATGCCTGTAATCCCAGCACCTTGGGAGGCTGAGGTGGGTGGATCACTTGTCAGGAGTTCGAGACCAGCCTGGCCTACATGGTGAAAACCCATCTTTGCTAAAAATACAAAAATTAGCCAGGTGTGGTGGCGCATGCCTGTAATCTCAGCTACTCCGGAGGCTGAGGAAGGGTAATCACTTGAACCCGGGAGGTAGAGGTCACAGTGAGCCAAGATCACGCCACCATACTCCTGCCTGCGTGACAGAGCGAGACTTCGTCTCAAAGAGAAAAGGAGTTAGGACATCTGTGGGCCTCAATTTCCTCCCCTCTAAAATGAGATTGATGATACCTGCCGAGCTTCCTGGATAAGCACGCAGTGGGAAGGGCCGGGCCGAGCGCTCCCCTGTGGGCAGAGCTGGGATGACAGAGAATAAAGCTGCTATCAAGGGCAGCCCCAGAAGTGAGGGCCCAGCAGACTGGAGAAGGTTCTGCAACACACTGCCAAAGGCAGAGGCTCCTGGGGACACAGGACACCTCCCGGCTCCTGTGTTGAAAGGAGGTAGAGGGTGGGTCTGAGGATCTGCATTTTGAACAAGCTTCCTGGAGACCCATGCAGGTAATACACGGACTTCACTCGAGAAACTGTTTTAAAGAGGGTGGAAAATCAGACACCTAGGGTTGGGCAGGTGACAGAAATGTGTGGCTGATTTGGGTGGGCAGCATGTGGCCAGATATTCCAGGTCCTCTAGAGAAGAAATCAAGATTCCTAGGAACTTTTTTCTATTTGAAAATATTGTGCAGGGTACACAAAAGCCCCCACGTGTGAGGGAGACTGGACCCCGAGCCACAAGTGGGCGGTCCATCCCTGCATCTCTCTTCTGGAGGACTGAGTCCAGGGACCCAGCAAGGAAGACTTAAGCCGGGGAGGGAGAGATGGCTGGGGGCTGGTTTTAAGCCTCGCCATGGGAAAGCTCTTTGAGTGCTGTGAGGCTGAAAGATGGTGCTATGAGTGGGGACAGTCTCCCGCTTCTCCCAGAGGCGCGAGTTGTTGAACAGGCTCTAAGCAGAGCCGATGAGCTGAGGGCAGGGCGGTTCTTTTACACCTGCCATCCCACAAGCAAACAGCTACTCAGGGCGTGGAAAGTTTGCTTTTCTGAAAAGTAAATATCTTCTGCAAACTTTGTTGACATTTTTCATGGGTTTAATAGGTTCGCTTTCATGATGGATTCTAGGGCAGTTCCAGGTAATGAGGCTTTACGGTTCACCCCTCAGGAGACCTGTTTCCCCTTTTCTTGTGTGTGTGTGCCCACCGCCTTTGTGCTGAGTTTAGGAAATGTGTGTGTGTTTGTATGCCCATACACGTGTGTCCACCGCCTTTGTGCTGAGTTTAGGAAATCCTCCCGCTGTTAAGTCAAATGAGACATCAACATGGAAGGATGAACGTGGTGTACCGTTGGCTGAAAAACACAAGTCGCTTTTAAACCCTTACCTATTGTATGGTCCCATTTCTGTTTTCAGAATTGATGCCCGTGTCTGTAGGTATGTGTGTCCACAGGTGTGTATACTCTGGCCCCCCATGGAGAGGGAGGATAGGCATTGCTCAAGAGCAGGCTTCCCCAGACTTTTTACACAGGGGGCCAGTTCGCTGTCCCTCGGACCGCTGGAGGGCTGCCACATACTGTGCTCCTCTCACTGACCACCGATGAAAGAGGTGTCCCTTCCTGAAGTGCGGTGGGGGGCTGGATAAATGGCCTCAGGGGGCCGCAGTTTGGGGACGCCTGCTCAAGAGCTTGCACTTAGATTTGGGTTGTCACTTACTACTCAGTTTCTTCTCTGTGTTGGAGAGGATGAAGGTGGCTGTGAAGACGAAAGACCGTGGCGCATGGCAACACCCCACACAGTGCCGTGTCAAGTCTTCACTGCGTGTTAGATGCCTGCTAAATGTGGAAGGAAGAGAAGTGGGGAGGGGACATTTCACTCCCTTTTACTCTTCTGTACTGCTTGACAATTTGTCAGCAACCACATGTGACATGTATACCATAGACTGTGTTAGTTTATTAGCACTGCCATAAATGACCACAAACCAGGGGGCTGACAACAGCCGAAATTGAGTCTCTCGCAGTTCTGGAGGCCAGAAGTCTCAGATCAGAGTGTCAGCCAGGCAGTGCCGCCTTCAAGCTCCAGGGGAGGATCCCTGCTTACTTTTTCTAGCTGCTGGTGGCTCCTGGTGTGCCTTGCCTTGTGGCCCCATCACTGCAGTCCCTGCCTGCATGTTCCCATGACCATCTTTCTCTTCTTCTTATGGAGATATAAGTCATTGGATTTAGGGGCCACCCCAAGTCCAAGATTATTTTATCTTGAGACCTTTAGCTTATTATATTTGCAAAGATCCTATTTCGAGTAAGGCCACATGCTGAGGTTCTGGATGGGCATGAATTTGCAGGGGGCACTACTTATCCTACTACATAGATAAAAGCCTGCAGCTGAAATCTGCAGACCCCTCCTCAATTCTAGAAAGTGGGAACTGGTGTCAGCTTCTCCTTCTCCTGCAGAGGCGCCTGTCTTGCGCCTGACACTTTGGCTCTCATTCATTCGTTTCTGCTGCCACCGCTCCTTTAGCAGGCATCCATCCCCTCCTTCCTGCAGAAGGCAGCATCCTCCCAAGTTCCGAGTCAGGTGGAGGTGGCAGGTTCAGTGCTGCTGGGCACCTTGGACAAGTCAGTCGAATCTGAGAGTCTTGGTTTCCTCATCTGTAAAATGCAGTCCATCCTAGTACCCACCGTATAGGACTACTGTTAGATCAAAGACGACCATGCCTGTTAGGCCCTTCGCACAATGCCTGGCACAGAGCAGGCACTCAAGAGATACTTATTATAGCCACCGTTTCGTCAAAAACCATATGGGCCGGATGTGGTGGCTCATGCCTGTAATCCCAGCACTTTGAGAGGCCAAGGTGGGTGGATCACTTGAGGTCAAAAGTTTGAAACCATCCTGGCCAACATGGTGAAACCCCATCTCCACTAAAAATACAAAAAAATTAGCCAGATGTGGTGGTGGGTGCTATAATCCCAGCTACTTAAGAGGCTGAGGCAGGAGAGTCGCTTGAACCTGGGAGGCGGCGGTTGCAGTGAGCTGAGATCATGCCACTGCACTCCAGCCTGGGTGACAAGAGCGACTCCTTTCCATTTTATTATGAAAACTCAAACATAGAACAGTTAAAAGACTTGTATGCTAGACACAGATTCCCCCCACCCAGATGCTACTGTTTACATCTGGCTGCCTTTGCTTTGTCTTTGCTCGCTATCCATCTGTCTGTCCATGCCTCCACCTTTTGAGATGGAGTCTTGCTCTGTCACCTAGGCTGGAGTGCAGTGGTGTAGTCATGGGTCACTGCAACCTCCACCTCCCAGGTTCAAGAAATTCTTCTGCCTCAGCCTCCCAAGTAGGTGGGATTATAGGCACATACTGCCACACCCAGCCAATTTTTGTATTTTTAGTAGAGACGATGTTTCACCATGTTGGTCAGGCTGGTCTTGAACTCCTGACCTCATGATCTGCCCATCTTGGCCTTCCAAAGTGCTGGATTACAGGCATGAGCCATTGTGCCCAGCCTCATGCATCCATGTTCTTTCTTGATGCACTTCACAGTTAACGGTGACATCAGCTTGTGCGTGTCATTAACTAGAGTTCAGCGTTACAGAGGCAATTATCATCAGACTTGAGGCAGGAGAGAGACACCCAGGCAGGTGGACCTGGCTGAAGTTGGAAGCGAAGATTCCCTTTGCCTGCTGCTTTGGAGTCTGGAAACTTCTGGGGCCATGTCTGGGTAACTTCAGGGTGTGGCCTGCCATCCCACAGGGCCGGCTGGGCTGCTGCAGGCCACTCATCCTCAACTGGCCCCTAGCTGGTACCTCAAACATTGTGGGCTGCATCGTTGTTTTTCTTTCTTTTTTTGAGACAGTCTCACTCTGTGACCCAGGCTGGAGTGCAGTGGTGCAACCTCAGCTCACTGCAACCTCTGCCGCCTGAGTTGAAGTGATTCTCCTCCCTCAGCCTTCCCAGTAGCTGGAATTACAGGCGCCCACCACCATGCCTGGCTAATTTTTATACTTGTAGTAGATACAGGGTTTCACCACATTGGCCAGGCAGGTTTCACCGTATTGGCCAGGCTGATCTCAAACTCTTGACCTCAAATGATCCACCCCCTTGGCCTGCCAAAGTGCTGGAATTATAGGCATGAGTCACTGTGTCTGGCGGAGATGGCACTGTTGTTGAAGCTGTATTGTTGTTGAGGGTGCATTGTTGAGGCTATATGGTTGAGAATGCATTCAGGTTGCATTGTTGAGGTTGCACTGTTGGGGCTGCATTGTTGAGGGTGCATTCAGGTTGCATTGTTGAGGCTGCACTGTTGTTGAGGCTGCATTGTTGAGGCTGCACTGTTGAGGATATACTGAGGCTGCATTGTTGAGGCTGCATTGTTGAGGGTGCATTGAGGTTGCATTGTTGAAGCTGCGTGGTTGTTGAGGGTGCGTTGTTGAGGCTGCAATGTTGAGGGTAGACTGAGGCTGCACTGTTGAGGGTGCATGAGGTTGAATTGTTGAGGCTGCACTGTTGAGGCTGCATTGTTGAGGGTGCATTGTTGAGGCTGCATTGTTGAGGGTGCATTGAGGTTGCATTGTTGAGGCTGCATTGAGGGTGCATTGAGGTTGCATTGTTGAGGCTGCATTGTTGAGGCTGCATTGAGGTTGTATTGTTGAGGCTGCATTGTTGAAGCTGCACAGAGGCTGCATTGTTGAGGGTGCATTGAGGTTGCATTGTTGAGGCTGCATTGTTGAGATTTCATTGTTGGGGAGGCTGCATTGTTGAGGGTGCATTCTTGAGGCTTCATTGTTGAGAGTGCATTGATTACATTGTTGTTGAAGGTGCATTGTTGAGAGTGCATTGTTGAGGCTGCTTTCTTGAGGCTTTGTTGTTAAGGGTGTATTGTTGGTTACATCGTTGTTGAAGGTGCATTGTTGTTGAGGGTACATTGAGGCTGCATTTGAGCTTGTTTTGTTGAGGCTGCACTGTTGTTGAGGGTGTACTGAGGTTGCATTGTTGATGAGGCTGCATTGCTGTTGAGGCTGCATTGTTGTTGGCCAGAAGTGAGGTGGGTGCTGTAACAGGCAGTGACCCAGCCTCTCTCCCCTCATTTTTCCACAGCTGGAGCCAGATGGACTGCTGGTGTGGGTCCTGGCGGGTGCCCTGGGGCTCAGCCTTGTCTTCTCCCTGGTCTCAGTCCCACTGCAGTGCTTCAGGCTCAGCAGAGTCTACGGCTTCTGCCTGCTCCTCTTCTACATGAACTTCCTTGTTGTGGCCCTCCTCACTGAATTTGGAGTGATTCACCTGAAAAGCATGTGACTGAAGCCACTTAGTGTTGCGGCCTCACTGCAGGCAAGAGCCCCGCCCTCCTGCCAGGGGAGGCCCGGGACCAGAGCATTTCTGCAGGGCTCCTGTGGGCACAAGTGTGCGGCCCTTGCTGCTGGATATCTGAGGTCACTGCTGTGAGCTGAGAGAACTTCTCTGTCCCCCTCGCTGCCAGCACCCAACAGCCTTGCCGTGGGGACTTTGGAAACTAGGCTTTGCTCTGGACAAAGGGTTCCAGAGAGAAGCTAGAAGGCCCCCTTGAATGATCCCCAGAACCCCTCTGAGAAGGGCTGGAGTTTGGGGAAGATCAGCTGGGTGTGTTCCAGGCCATGCTGGAGGCACCAAGACACAGGCGCTGCCCATTCCTCTTGCCTGAGCTTCAGGCCTACTAGCACCTTCTCAGGGCACATGTGGCTACCCAGCCCTCAGCGAATGAGGGTGGCTCAGACCCCTGGGAATCAGGCCGCTGAGGGCTGAGCTCCAGAGCTGCACTGTCTCCCAGAAACAAAATTCAAGACATACTTAATTTTGAATTTCTCCTTGCCACGCTTATAAAGCCAAAAGCAGCGGGTGCCATTCGTGACGATGCACTTCACTGAACCCACTTGCTCCGAAAACACCATCAGCCAAGGCACTGCTACGCCTGCAGCTGCCACATGGGACAGCGGTCAGACGCTGCCTCTAGGATTCTGTCCCTGACTGCCCACAACTCCTTTGTTTGTGCCCGAACCTTTGCTTCTCCAGCTGCCAAGCAGAAGTCCAAAGGACTGTGCCTATGCCTCCCTCGGTGGGGGGGGGGGGAGGGGTGTCCCTGAGCAGGCTTCAGGGCCTGTGAGCTGGGGAAGGACAGATGGGGAGCCCTCGTGCCTTCCTGCTGTCACGCAGTGACCCCGCCTTATGTTGCCAAAATAAGCAACTCTTAGGTTTGCAACTGCCTTATGCTGGGAAAGAAGAAAATAAAACGTTTTTACAAATAAAAAAAATAATTCAAAATTTCAAGTGTAGAGAAAATGACACACCCAGCTTTTACCAGTTCTTCCTCTCACCGGGGCCAGCACTGAGTGGCTGATCCCAGGGCAGGGCTCGGGGCGGGGCTGAGGCAGGATCAGGGACGGCCATGGCCTTGGATGGAGCCACTCTCTGCACAATACCCACGTAAGTCAAGAGGCAGCAGCCACGTTTTACAAAGCAGAGGCTCTTTTATTAATACGTCAGAAATCCAGAGACACAGTGGGTTTTCTAGGTAACAAATCACCAATGTACAAAACTGTACAGCACTGCTCCCGTGATCCGTACAAAATGACTGTCCGCATGGTGGGGTAAGGCTGGGGCTGTGGGCGGGGAAGCGAGGGGCTGGGGAGGGCACAGGGCCATTGCCGCCACCGCCAGGCTGAGGCCCCGGCGCCGGTGAGTGTCACGTGGGTGCACTCAACTGTGACATTGGGGACGAGAGGGCATCTCAGCTAGATCACATCCCGGGACCCCCAGAGCTCACAGCCTCTGGGAGACCCCTGCTCCCTGCTTGTGGGGGGCCAGGGGTAAGCCGGGGATAGCTGTCCCTGGCCTCAAGGACAAGGCCACCCACCCTGGCTAGACTCTGGCCCGTTGACAATGCTGCCATTGGGTGTTTGTCGGGTCCTGGCCAAAACCAGGTCCCTTCTCAGGACAGCGTTGGGAGGATGGACACACTCACTCTGAACAGGGCGGAGATGCCACTCCTCCTGGAATAGACCTTCCCACCCGAGTGTCTCAACTCCCCTGGGCAGACCCCTGGGTGCTGCTGGCGGCCCCTCCAGGTTTCCACCCCTGGGAAGGAAGAGCCGAGTCTGAGGCCCAGATGCTCAGGTCAGAGACTCACACCTTTAGAAGCTGTCCCCTGACCCTTGCTTCCAAAATGCCCATTTCAACACAAAAAAGCTAAAAGGCACCCAGTTGTGCAATAAAGTTCCCTCTCTGCGAAAGGGAGGGGGTTCTGGCCTGGGGCTCGATGTGGAGCTCCCAGTGATGGCCCATGGCCCTCCAAAGAGGACAAAGCCGGTCTGACTCCCAGAGGAATCACAGTGATTCTCAACGATTCGCTGGTTTCCCATAGGGCTGTGCTTTAAAACAAACACCCACCACTGGACTAACTCCGTGAAGGGGAGAACCCGGCCGCGCTGGCGATGGGACCCAGCTTGGTCTTGGAGGTGGCGGGGAGCGGGGGTTGGGGGACGAGGCCCCACCCTGCCCGTTCTGTGGCTGGGAAAAGAACGAGGCCAGAGGGAGCCTGTGTCCACCTGTGGCCCGGACGCCGCGCAGCGCACGCCTGGCCCTCCCCGCACCCTCGTCCTGCTGCTGTGGAACCTGTGCTGTGCTCCAGGGAAGCAGAACCAAAGTGGCCTCCACCGCCTGTCACCGCAGCTGGCAACCCCCCTACCTCCACCATGCTCGGATGTCCCACAGAGCTCCCAAAAGGTGCCGTGGCGGGGAGGAGTGGTGGATGTTAGCAGTTCATCCGGACCTGCTTCTGCACCAACCACTCCCGCCATGGAAATCTCCGGGGTGAGCAGAGGCAGGGAGGGAGGGTGGCTGGGAGCTGGGCCGGGGCTACGGGGCTGCTGCGTCCCACAGGGAGCGTCACTCTGCTGGTCGCTCCCATTTCTAGTGCCCATGTGCGAAGGACCTGCTACCAGCTTTAGCATAGTCCTTAATTCACCAAAATGTCGTTTTGCTTGAACGGGTAAATCGCAAAAGGGATTTGGTCGAGAGAGCCCATTCCAGGAAGCTGTTTGGCTTACAGGCGTCGGCCCCACCTCCTGCCTCACGCCCCTTCCTCCAGGGTCTGCGTCCCCCCAGGAGGCCACTGTGGAAGGATTTTCGCCAGCAAGGGTTAAGCCGGAGAAGGCTGGGTGGGAGGCCTGCAGAGCCGACGGAGGAGACTGCTCAGTGTAACCTGCTGCCGCCCGGCACTGGCGAGCTGAGCTTTGGCCACGTGGGCACAATCACCCCAGTTCCTCTTTCCATTAGGTCCTGGGCACTGGTCCCCGAAGAAGCATTCCATGACATTATCATATACATTGAAACACCACCCTGGAGACGGGCTTCTTTCCTTCCTAAGTGGTTCTGTCCCTAAAGTAAGACACAGGAACCTGTGGCATGGGCCGCAGGCAGCAGGGGTGGGGATGCCATCAGGTCAGGAGATGTGAGCCTGAAGCAGCTTTGGACGTGGCCGGTGGAGGCTGGCCCATGCGGGAGGCAAGCCCCGCAGAGTCGGCTGGATCCAGGTGAGGGGTCTCCTTGGGAAGGGGCTTCTGGAGCCTTCCACAGCAGGAAGAGCTCAGACCTAGCAGCCGCAGCCCACCCCTCACCAAACTGGCTTGTGGAGTTAAGGAAAACAGGGCAAGGTGGTTATAAACCAAGCCCCCTCTCGTCTGTCTGCTTTCTTTCTCTATATAAATATGTGCATATACGTTTGTGTACACACGCCGCAGTTCTGGACGTCGACGTAGAGTGATACTATTGTGGTACTGCATAGTAGAGATGGCTTTTGGGCGCTGGGCTAGGTGACGGTCTGGGAGCGCTGGCGGCCGCCTGGGGGCTGCTGGGTGGCAGAGGCTGCACTGCTGCTGAGCTGTCGCTGTTGCTCCTGCTCCCTGGCATGCTCCTCATACCATTCCTGGAGCAGAGAGCAGAGGGGGCGCTGAGGCCTGCACCCCCCACCCTGCCCCACTCACCCTGCAAGGTCATCAAGCTTCAGGGTCACACAGCCAATGGCATCCAGGCCGGAGGGGGCAGGGCTGCCAGCCTCACACAGCTGGTACTGAAACTCCCCCGTCACAGGCTCAGAAATGCTGAGAATTTTGAATATGGCCCCAGAAGCAAAAATGACAATGAAATCTTCCCCTAGTGTCTGGAGGCTGGAGCATCACAGCTCTCTAACAGGCCCAGGCAGGAACAACCCTCATCCCTCGTTTATGAGCATAAACTTTTGTCCTTCACGAAAAACGTTCCCCGGGGTGACCCCTTTTGAGCTTGGCAGGAACTGTGTCCCTGTTCCACTCCCGAGACGCTGAGGCTCAGAACTGCATTATGCTGAATGCCTCACCTAACCTTTGCCCTCCAGCAGGAATGGGAAGGCATTCTGGAAATGTCAAACAGCGTACCCGTCTAAGGCCATGATTATAACCTCCGGCTTCTAATTTAAGAAAAGGCAGGCCGGGCATGGTGGCTCACACCTGTAATCCCAGCACTTTGCGAGGCCAAGGCAGGTGGATCACTTGAGGTCAGGAGCTTGAGACCAGCCTGGCCAACAGAGCAAAACCCTGTCTGTACTAAAAATACAAAATGTAGCCACGTGTGGTTCTGTGCACCTGTAATCCCAGCTACTCAGGAGGCCGAGGCAGAAGAATCGTTTGAATCCGGGAGGCGGAGGTTGCAGTGAGCCGAGATCACACCACTGCACTCCAGCCTGGGAGACAGAGTGAGACTCTATCTCAAACCACCACCAAGCGGCTTGAGCACAGTGGGGCTTTCTTCCTATTGGGCAACCTCGCTGGAACTGGGAAGAGGCCGGCCCCTTCGGACACGACCATCCTTGCCAGTTGACGACCATCTCTGCTCTTTCCTCTATGCTCGCTGTGTTTCTTGCTACACACGTTTGAGTTTACAGCTCGGACTCAAGTAAGGGATGGAGAGGAGGTTCTGGAGAATTCCTAAGGGGCAGGGACATGGCAGCAGGCAGACAGGAGAGCTGCCTCCGCTGTGAGCCAGTCCAGGGTTCAAGGCGGAGCGGCCCCGCCCAGGTCCCACACAACCCCCGCAGTGGTCGCAACGGATGAGCCGAAGCTCTCCACCAGCCTTCATCCTCCACTCAGAGCCCGGGGATCAGCCCCCTGCCCTCCCAGGACGAAGCCAGGGGAGGACTCGGCGCGGTCGGCCGTGCTCCTACCTGGATCTCCTCCTGGTACATCTTCAGGCTCAGGTCGCTCTTGGTCCTTGAGCGCCGTCCCAGAAACACCATGGAATGTTGCTAAGGAAGAGCAGAGGCTGCAGGGCTCAGCTGCAGATGTTCAGGACCCACCCCTGGTGCCACCGCTGGCCTCTCCCACTTCTCTGGCTTTTGCAACTTGTGTCACTCAAGATGTTACCAGCATCTGAGGGGAGGGATTACGCCGCGCTGAAACCCGCCTCCCTCCTTCAGACCGGGGCCTGGCCTCCTCACCTGGTATCTCTCCATCTGGGAGAGGGTCTCCAGCAGCCGGGTGACGTCTGAGGAGGCGCCCCGTGCCTCCCGGTAGAGCTCCAGGACAGTGACCAGCTCTTCTTTGGAGATTTCCTTCTCAAGGGTGATGCCACCATCAACTGCAGGGAGGGAGGGCAGGTGTGGGAAGGGCCTGGGGCTGGAGCCGCCAACCTGGCTGGGTCTCGTTCCACTATCCTCCTTGCGCCCCTCTACGGGGGGGTCTTAAGTTTCCCTCTCTAAGTCGACACTGCACTGGTGTCCTGTTCTCCACCTCGGCCCTCTTCCCCTCCCCTCCCTCTGCTGTGAGGTCAGGAGTGCAGGTCTAGCGGGCAGCTTACAGGACCACAGGGTTTCAGGAAGGGGTCTCCAAGCAAAGAAAATGGCCAGATGGTCTGACACCACAGAGATCTGCGGAGGAGGAGTAACAGGTGTGGGCACGGAGTTTTCTGTTTAGGAGACAGATCTCAGGCTGGGTGCAGTGGCTAATCCCAGCACTTGGGAGGCCGAGGCAGGTGGATCATGAGGTCAGGAGTTTGAGACCAGCCTGGTTAACATGGTAAAAACCCATTTTACTAAAAATACAAAAATTAGGTGGGCATGGTGATGGGTGCCTGTAATCCCAGCTACTCGGGAAGCTGAGGCAGGAGAATCACTTGAACTCGGGAGGCGGAGGTTGCAGTGAGCCGAGATCACGCCATTGCTCATCAGCCTGGGAGATAGAGGAAGACTCTATCTCAAAAAAAAAAAACAAAAACAAAAACAAAAAGGCAGGGTCTCACTCTGCCCCGGCTGGAGTGCAGTGGTATGATCATGGCTCACTGCAGCCTTGACCTCCTGAGCTTGAGCGATCAAGTGTGGACAATTTTGATGGAGAATTTGGGAAGAAGGGAGGGTCAGTACACAGAAAACTATGCAATCTGGGAAGAGTGAGGCAGTCACTAGAGCCAGCACCGTCCAGCTGCAGCAGGAATACAATTTGCCGGTGCCGTAAACAGTATTCACACCATTTAAATCAAGAACTGTAGTGTGAACCTATTATTGAGAAACGTGCAGATGACTGAAGGAAGAAACAGCTAAGAGGGAGGCGCCTCTGGAGGACGGGAGGGGGGAGGCAGGACACGGGCTGCCGCCACCACATAAGCCTTTCTCTACTACCTGATTCTTCTCCAACTATGACATCACTGTTTTTATTTTAAAGTCAGATCGACCGTGTTTTCTGAGATTAACTCTTTGAAAACAAGGCAAATAGGAGACCTAGAAAGACAAGCCAGACAGATAAGCTGGACAACCAGACAGCCGAGAAAGGACAGCCTGATGGCTGGCTAGAAGGCCACCCGGACAGATAGAGCTAGGTGGGTGGCACACAAACGCCCAAGGTGTCACGCCGGCACAGACCTTCTGAGTCCTGGTTCTTGCGGCTGTAGTTCATTCGGAAGACGAAGGCCTCAAGAATGAAGGCGACAATGATCGTCATCACCACCTGGCCAGGGACAGGGAGGGAGGGGTGGAGACAGGGGAGGAGGGCGGGTGGGTGTCTGTGGCTGCACGGCCCACCCCCAACAGAGCCCGGCCAGATGGGACCCAGCCCCACTCCCTGATGCTGCAGCCTGAGGAGTCGGGGCAGCTGGTGAGGTGGAAGACGAAGGGCAAAGAGCGTTCTGGGGCCTGGGACATACCATGGTCACGATGTAAAAGGTCATGAAGTAGAGGCGGCTCCAGTGGGAGGTCTGAGAGGTGACGCCTTCCTGGAGACCAATGGAGCAGCTAGTGAGGGGACCCATGCCAGCAGGGCAGGTCCCTGTCTGCACAGGCTGCCCCATGGCCCGGGTCCGGAGCCAGGCTCCCCAGCTCTTCACAGACCCCACCCTGATTTGCAGCTGGTTGTGAGACGGAGGAGACGGAGCTCACCCTTCTGGGTCTAACACTAATTCCTGACTAATTTCTGACTGCTGAAGGAGCCCCGGCCGCTCCCCTGGACAGCTGGATCCAGAACCAGGGCAGCCTTCATCCCAGTAGGGCTGGGAGTCCGGAGAGTTTAAGGAATGGAATAGAGAGCAGCAATGACCGACGTATTTTCGCTAGAGGGAAAAGTCATCTCTACGGTGGGGAAGATGGGACAGAGACTCAGAGTCTAAGTGGCATCTCCTGGCTGCTGGGAACATGCAGAGAGACAGGAGTGGCAGCTGAGTCCTCCAGTGCTGGGAGGGGTGGCTCTCGGGTCCAGCCATACCGTGGCCTCCCCATAGAACACCAACGCAGCATGACTCAAGACCCCCAGCCCTGCAGGGTGCAGGAAGGACGATACACCCTGGGTGAGGGGAGACCCGGGGCTGGCGGGAGGACACCCCCAGAGCTGCCCGAGCTCTTACCATGATGATGTACCAGTTGTTGACCACTGTGAGCTCGAACAGGGTCACTGCCGAGGGAAGGAGAAAGCAGCATCCAGATGAGACCGCACTTCAAACTGAACTTGGAGGGGCCTTGTTACCTATCCCGGGTGCCATGTGCTAAGATGAGGGGGTCACCATATGCCCGCTTGGGCTGTGAGCTCCAGGAAGGACCGGGCAAGGCCCTTGTGGGGCACTGGCTCCGCAAGGCGCTCTGCCATTTCGGCCTGGCCCCAAGAGGGCACACCTTCTGCCTCGGCAGCCTGGGCGCACCAGACCCATCTGGATGTCACTGGGTACAGATCTGGGGTGTCGGGAGGCACGCCCTTTTTCCGGAGAGGCCGCTTGGCTGTGTTCTCCTCTTCATGGGGGTGGGTACAGGGCCGTGTGCAGCCTGAGCCAGGGAGCAGTGCAGCTGCAGCAGCACTGGTGTGGCTGGGTCCCACCCTGTGAGTGGCACTGTGACGAGGGGACCCCACCCAGCGAAGGCCTACAGCTCTTCTCTTCTCCAATACTGAGAAGGGATCAGGGAAAAGAGTGGAAGCGGGCAGCCGAGTGCGCTCCGGGATCTGGCCTGGCCTGGCCTGCACTGCCAAGACCACGCCCTCCACCTGGGCCAGGGAGGCGCCAGAAAGTGTGCCCCCTGGTGCTGAAGGGAGAGGCCCAGACACTCGCGACATCACCTCTGAGACCCGTGGTGACAAGGGCGGGGTTCCCAGGGAACGTCCCCCCTGTGATTTTTCCCACTCACCAAAGCTGTTGAGGATGTTGTCAAAATTATTGAGATAGTAGTAGCCTTCCTCTACCACGGTCCTGTTGCCCACGGTGTGGTTGCGCCAGCGGTAGGCGTCTGCCACTGTACTCGTGCTGGCCGGAGCACAAGGGAGAAAGGAGGGAGGGTCACAAGGCGATCGGTCACCTCCAGAGAGGACAGAACTCTGAAACAAACCGAGGTCTGGCCAGGACTTTCCTGCCTAACCCTCTCCACCTCATGCCTGGGCCCTGCCAGAGGAAGGCCCTTGGTCACTCCTGCCTGCTGGGCTTGGTAGGAGCCCCGGGCACCTCTGTCACCTGTCACCTAGCAGTTCTCTGCTGCAGGCGCAGACTCCCTCACCGCTGCCTGAGAGGAGAGGCAAGGGCCTCCTCTGCACCTGCCTGTCTAGGATCTGCTCTTGAGTCTGGGCACCAGGCCACAGCCCCAGGGAAGGAATCCCTACTGGGGCTCCCTGATACTTGGGCTGGGCAAGTATTTGAAAAGGTTGGTCCTATTTGAGAATCCTCTGAACCCAGGAGGTGGAGGTTGCAGTGAGATTGCGTCATTGCACTCCAGATGGTTTTGAGGAGCTCGTATTTGCCACTTTCTTTCCAATCCTTTATGGCTACTCTGTTAATATCCATGCTAATGTTTATAACAGTCCAGTGCTTGGGCCACCCGGGAGCCTCCTCCCACACGCGCACATCAGACGCATAGGTGACGTCTGGAGCTTGCACGAAGCTCCCTGGTGACTGGGATATGCTCAAAAGTCTGGGACCCACAGCTATAGGCTTCTGGTTCCAGACCAAGCTTGACACTCAAACTGGGTCTCAGAGCTACCAGTGTCTTTGTAAAACTGTTTCTTCATCAGTGCTTGAGGCTGCAAAGACCAAATGTAAGCGAACTCTGAACTGAGAATGAATGAATGGCGGTGCAGTGATTTCACTATAGCGGCTTAGGAGAAAGGGAGCGCTCGTGGGAGATTTCACTCTCTGCTCTCCATCCCTGAGCTCGATGACCTTCCTGCACATGTCCCTAGAAGACTGGTCTTGGCCTAGGTCCGCAGCCACTCCAGAAGAGAAGTGGGAGGAAGCTATGGGACTTGACCTCGAGACGCAGGCTACTTTAGGGGTGGCCTCCAGCCCTTGGCAGAGGGTGAGCTGATGGCTCCCAACCCTACCTGGGGGGATGGGGAAACACGGACCCCAAGTCCAGGTCCCTTGTGTAGCTCCCTACACTCAACTAAGCCCTGAAAGCAAAGCAAGGTGGCTGCTTTGAGAGGAGCAACCCCAAGGACCCCAAGGTCACAAGGATGCCAGTTCTGGCCCTGGCCAGCCCTCTGCCCTGGAAATGCAGGCTGCCTGGGGCTAGGTGCCTCCGGTCACCACCTACTCACTTGCAGCAGTTGGGGAAGAGGATCCCGAAGAAGAACTCCATGCCCACGATGGCGAAGGAGTAGTAAAAGATGAGCAGAGTGAGGCCCAGGCTGTGGGGCGACAGGGGCAGGGTGACGCGAGGCCGGCGGGAGGGAACGGCTCCTCCGAAGCCCCGGCCTCTTCGGACCCCAGGGCTGACTGCAGGGCCACGCCCATGGTCGGTTCACCAGCTGGAAAGTGCCTGCGGGGGAGGGGCCTCGTGGGGCAGCTCTGGGGTGAAAAACAGCTCAAGTCAGGACTCTAGGAACAGATGCCCCTTTCCCAGAGATTCACCCCTTACCTGTGAAGGTAGACTCACAGGTGACCCCTTACCTGTGAATGTAGACACAGGCGGTAAGTGAGTTGACAGCTCCCTGCCCTCCCTACTAAATATGTCAGACAGGTCAGTGGAGAAAATGTTGGTGCCCAGGAGACCCGTGGCGGTCAGGGGTTCTGGCTCCTTGCAGCCCCATCAGGCCCCCGATTCCAGTCCTTCGTGGAACTGCTTTCCCCCAACTGCTACTCGGCTCCCGCCCCCACGGGGCACTGCCACACGGCACCTGGACCTGCGGGCTGGGTTGGGGGCTGGCAGTACCTGGCCATCCGGGGCAGAAGCTCGAACATGGTGTCCAGCACATTGCGGTAGCGCTCTTTCAACTTAAACAACCTGAGCGAAGAGGACGCCCGTCACCTCCACACGCAGGCGCACACCTCAGCCCCCACCCTCAGAGACCCCCGCCGGCCCTGCCCTCCACGCGCCTCGAGGTGAAGACAGGCGAGGACCTCTCCTCCACCTGCGTCTGTTCCCGTGGGTGCCACCAGCCCCGAGCTTGGCTCAGATGACTCATGCATGAGGGAAGGGACGATGGCAGCCCTAGGACACCGGCTAAGTGGGGCCCTTCCACAAAAAGGAGCAGGGCCAGGCCACGTCTCCTTGCAGTAGAGCTGCAGGCTCAGACAGGAGTGAGGCCTTGCTCCTGGGAACGAGGGAGGACAAGCCCATGTTCCCCGGGGAGTTGGCGCAAGGGAGTCCACCGGCAAAGAAAGGTGGCAGAGGGTGGGAGGGACGTGGATACTCAGGCCCAGCTCCAGGCCACACTCACATGCCAAGGGGGAGGCTTTTCCTCCACAGATGCCACCACCCCTCCTACTGCCTATCCCGCATGTCCCCTCTCCTCCTAGGGAGAGGACAGGGTGACGGACATGGATGGGGTTGCGGCTGGAGGGTCAAGAAGCAAACCCAGGCTCTGAGTGCACAGGGGCCCTAATGAGGAGCCCTCATTAGGAAGAGACACCATCAGCCAGGCAGGGTGGCTCACACCTGTAATCCCAGCACTTTGGGAGGCCAAGGTGGGTAGATCACAAGGTCAGGAGTTTGAGACCAGCCTGGCCAACATAGTGAAACCCTATCTCTACTAAAAATACAAAAATTAGCTGGGTGTGGTGGCGGGCACCTGTAATCCCAGCTACTCAGGAGGCTGAGGCAGGAGAATCATTTGAACCCAGGAGGCGGAGGTTACAGTGAGCTCGTGCCACTGCACTGGGTGACAGGGCAAGACTTCATCTCAAAAAAAAAAAAAAAAAAAGGAAGAGACACCGTTAGCGGGCAGGCTCACCTGGCACTTCCTTCAGTGTCCCTGGAAAGTCAGTGGGACCCACGCAAGGGTTTTTCTCCACAAGAGGCTGAGCCAGAGAAGCATGACGGGTCCCTGAAAGGCCCTTCCAACCCTCAGACCTGTGGCTCTGTGATCCGTGACTGAGCACATGGGCTCCTGTGGCCAGTGCAATGCCACCTCAGGTAGGGTGAACATGAATTATGGGCTGGGTTTCTCTGCCCAGAGGCGTCTGGGTGAGGTGAGGGGCACAGGCAGCCTGCACGCCCTCAGGGGTGGGGACGGTGACCCCATGGTGCTTCTGCAGGGGGTGACATCTGTGACTCTGGCTTGTGAGCCTTCTGGCCCATTCTGGGTCACTTCCCAGACCAATCCTGTGGCATTCCCATCCTCCCTCTATTTCTTCATCTCAATCTCCAGCCCTGCCCTGCCCCATCACCTTAGCAGCTGGAGGGGGCGCAGGACCACGATGAAATAGAAGGGCTCCATGTTGAGGGCCAGCGCCAGCAGTCCCAGGAAGGCAAACACCGTCACGGAGAAGTCGAACCTGCGGGAGGGCAGAGGCTGAGCTCCACCCCATGGCCCTGAGCCTCCCCGCACCTGCTCTCCTCCCTGGCCCTGTGCACAGCCACCCTCCCAAGGAGCCCAGACACAGCAACACCAACAGGCCCTGGCTGGCTGCAGGAAGGACTTCCTGCCACCCGTAGGGTTTCCAGGTGGCCAGGCCCTGTCCCAGCACGTGTCTCGAGGGTCAGGCCTCAGCGCTGACCCCAGGGCCAGAAATACCCAAGAACCCCCTCCAAATGGGCCCCATGCTGGTCTGACTACAGGGAGGAATGAAGCCCGGCCTCTGAAACCCTGGAGACAGGCCTCGTCTTCCGCTCAACAGACATCTGGTTACACACCGTGGACCAGCCTGACCCCAAGGAACTTTTTGAGGAAAGACAGCAGATTCCCCTAACAGCTGGCCCTGCCCAAGCCAGAGGACCCTCTCTCCTCTCCAGACACACAGGGCCCACACGTGTGCTGTCGGCTCCTCCCAGCGTGTGTTAACCTGCTCACCCTCACGGCCCAAGACCTCATGAGTGCAGCCTGACTTCACGGGCCGATTAGCTTTAACAGGGCAGGAAAGTGACCTGCCGCTCTGTGGAACAGGGAGAGGGGTAGGTGAGCCTCATCACTTCAGGGCAGGCAGGGGAACATTCTTCTTTGTGGGCATTGTGGTTTGTATGGAAGAGAAAAAAGATTAATGAGTCAGGAAGAGCAGGCCAGCCTGCGGCACCTCAAGAGGCCATTTCCAGAAGGACGGGCATGGGGGGTGTGAGAGGCTTCAGACAAGGGCCTGACCCTGGAGAGCTGCTGAGCCTCGGGCAGGACTGCTGGAGGGAGACGCAGGGCCTGGCCCACCCTCAGACCTTCCCTCCGCAATTCCAGAAACGGCCTGGACATTGGGTTGTGCAGAGAAGGGTCTGTGGCTGTCTTGAGTCTCAGCTTTGGGTCAGAAACATGCTGTCCACTCACAGGTTCCATCCGGAGGACAGGTACTCCACAGGGCCCAGGCCGGCGACCTTCAGGAACAGCTCCACCCCATAGACTGCGGACAGAAGGAGGCCATCGGCAGCAGCCCCGCCACATCCTCCCCCATGCTCCGTCTCCTCTTTGTGGCTCCTCTGCAGTCTGTAGCCTCCCTGCTGGCCACGTGCCCTCCAGGCTGAGCCCAGGCTTCATTCATGTGCCACTGTGAGAGCAGGTGCTCCAGGAGAGGGCCCAGATGGTGACCAATTGTGCAATCTGCTTAAGAGAAACTGGCCAGGTGTAGTGATTCACACCTGTCAACCCAGCACTTTGGGAGGCCAAGACAGGAGGATCTCTTGAGCCCAGAAGTTGGAGATCAGCCTGGGCAACAGAGTGAGACCCCATCTCTGCAAAAAATACAACATTAGCAGGGCATGGTGGCTCTGTGTGCCTATAATCCCAGCTACTTGGGAGGCTGAGGCTACTCGGGATCCCTTGAGCCCAGGAGGTTGAGGCTGCAGTGAGCCATGATCACACCACTGCACTCCAGCCTGGGTGACAGAGAAAGATCCTGCCAAAAAAAAATGACAGAGAAATCCTCCCTCCCCATCTCCAGACAGGGCCCAGCTAACCATCTGTCCATCCAACAGGTGTGTCCTGACCACCCCTTCCAACTTGGGCCTTGCACTGGGTTCTGAGTGTGCAACAGTGACCCGTGCAGGGCCACCCTGGGCAACCATTGCACTCCAGCACAACGGGGGCACAGAGCTTATCAACGCAGTGGGGGGAAAGACGCCAACAGGGAATGACACTTGACAGAAAGGGCAGGAGAGTCAGGCGGAGGCCAGAGGGAGACACCACCAGGCACTGGAAACCCCTGTGCACAGCCCAGAGGCAGACGAGAGCAGCAGGGAGCGGAGGCTGCTGAGGAGGGCGACAGCGTGCAGGGAGGGCCGCGCACTGGCAGGCAGCGGGGCTGCAGAGCCGAGCGGAGGACCACGCACACCTAGCATCTGGACTCCCATCTAGAAGGCGGTGGACAACCATGATAGAGTTTTAAAAAGGGATAAGATGGAATCAGACTAATTACTCCATCTCTTTACAGCTTCCTGTTTTAAAGAACCATGAGGTTCTATACTGAATGAAAGTTCTCCCAGACAATGTTTAAAGCAAGCAGTCCAGCAAAGCCACGTCAGAAACTTACTGGTAAGAAAGACGAGGTAACTCCAGGGCACGTGCTTGGAGAAGAAGTTCCCACCTGTAAGACAGAGAGGTAGCAGCTCACGGGCAAGCCGGGTGTGCCAGCCAGGACATGGCCAGTCCCCGAGGGGGGGGCTCACCTTTCAGCATGAACGTCTCCACGAGGATCCAGACCCCGTTGACTGCCACCACCAAGTCTGAAATACACAGGCCCATAAAAGACAGAAATAACAGGTGGGCTTAGAAATGTGCAGGTCACAGCTGCGGTCCCTGGTTAACTTCCTGGAGCTCTAGGCTTGGGGAGAACAGGGCTGCTCCACACACCCATTTGATAGGAAATGTCCTTCTGCTCAGTGTTCTTACCAAGGGAGCTCAATCAACCAGTGTTTTCACCTAGAAACTGCTACGAATTTCTAAAAACACTCCATCACTATATAAAGACCAGTTATGATATAGGGATTATTCCAAATTGGTGTAAAAGATGAACAGTGTACAAAGCATTCAAGTATTGAAACCATTTGTTTTCCCCTAGAGACTTTTTTAAGATGGAGTTTTTGCTCTTGTCGCCCAGGCTGGAGTGCAATGGTGTGATCTTGGCTCAGTGCAACCTCCACCTCCTGGTTCAACTGATTATCCTGCCTCAGCCTCCAGAGTAGCTGGGGTTACAGGTGCGCACCACCACGCCTAATTTTTTGTATTTTTAGTAGGGTAAGGTTCCCCTATGTTGGTCAGGCTGGTCTTGAACTCCTGACGTCAGGTGACCCACGTGCCTCATCCTCCCAAAGCGCTGGGATTACAGGTGTGAGCCACCGCATCTGGCCTCCCCTACAGACTTCTAATTTTAAAATAATTGCATGAACTCTTTAGCAAAAGTGCATATGCATTTGGCCGTCTGCCTAGCAGTCCCACTTCTCAGAAACCATTCCAATGATGTACTAGCAAAAATAGAAGATGTATCTGAAAGCTGTAGACCACAGCATTATTTGTGACAGCAAAACACTGGCAACAATCTCAATGACACATCAATAGGGGACTGCTTGAACAGACTATGATACATTCATGAAGTGGCATACTTTAACCGTAAAGAAGAAACAGGCTGAGTACAGTGGCTCACACCTGTAACAACAGCACTTTGGAAGGCTGACGCAGGCGGACTGCTTGAGCCCAGGGGTTTGAAACCAGCCTGGGCAACACAGGGAGACCATGTCTCTACAAAAATTTAACTAGCCAGGTGTGGTGGTGCGCACCTGTGGACCCAGCTACTCTGGAGGCTTAGGTGGGAGGACTGTTTGAGCCCAGGAGGCCAAGGGTTGCAGTGAGCTATGCTTGTGCCACTGCACTCCAGCTCGGGTGACAGAGCAAGGCCTCTAAGAGAGAAAAAAGAAAATAAATGAGGTACATTTCTACATATTACTTTTTTTTTTTTTTTTGAAAAGGGGTTTTACTATAACCCAGGCTGAAGTACAATGGGGCGTGATCTTGGCTCACTGCAACCTCCACCTCCTGGGTTCGAGCAGTCCTCCCACCTTGGCCTCTTGAGTAGCTAGGAACACAGGTGCACACCACCACGCCTGTTAATTTTTGTGTTTTTTTGTAGAGATGGGGTTTGCTACATTGCCCAGGCTGGTTTTGAACCCCTGGGCTCAAGCAATCCACCTGCCTCTGCCTTCTGAAGTCCTGGAATTACAGGCGTGAGCCACCACGCCCAGCCTCATTTCTATATATTACTATGAATTGGTCTCCAGGGCATATTGTTAACTGCAAAAAGCCAGGTGGCAGAAAAAAGCGCGTAAAATATGCTACTGTGAAAGACAGAGACATTGATATGTAACCAACTTACAGGTTTTAAATAATGGAAGGATAAGCCATAAATTAAAGTTATCCACTGTAGGAAGTGATGCGATATAAACTAAATTTCCTTGAATATACTTTTTTTGGTAGATCCTACTTGGAACCCGTGTAAGTATTTTACATAATTTTTTTTCCTTTTTCTTGAGACGAAGTCTCACTATGTTACCCAGGCTGGAGTGCAGTGGCACCATCACAACTCAGTGCAACCTCTGCCTCTCAGGATCAACCGATCCTCCCGCCTCAGCCTCCCAAGTAGCTGGGACCACAGGCACGCATGGCTAATTTCTTCTGTTTTTGGTAGAGATGGGGTTTCACCACGTTGCTCAGGCTGGTCTCAAACTCCTGACCTCAAGTGACCCACCGACCTCAGCCTCCCAAAGTGCTGGGATTACAGGCATGAGCCACCATGCCCAGCCCTAATTTACATAATTATGAAACAAGATTTGGGTTTTTTTCCTTGAGATGGGGTCTCACTCTGTTGCCCAGGCTGGAGTGCAGTGGTGCAATCACAGCTCACTATAGCCTCAACCTCCCCAGGCTCAGGTTCTTTTTGTACTTTTTGTAGAGACGGGGGTCTCACCACGTTCCCAAGGCTGTTCTCAAACTCTTGGGCTCAAGTGATCCACCAGCCTTGGCCTCCTGAAATGCTGGGATTTAGGTCTGAACCACCACGCCTGGCCATAAAATTAAATGCCAAAAGCAATCCCCCCAAAATAACAAATAATATGGCATAAAGAAATCCAAATCCGGCCGGGCGCGGTGGCTCACGCCTGTAATCCCAGCACTTTGGGAGGCCGAGGCGGGTGGATCACGAGGTCGAGAGATTGAGACCATCCCGGTCAACATGGTGAAACCCCGTCTCTACTAAAAGTGCAAAAAATTAGCTGGGCATGGTGGCGCGTGCCTGTAATCCCAGCTACTCAGGAGGCTGAGGCAGGAGAATTGCCTGAGCCCAGGAGGTGGAGGTTACGGTGAGCCGAGATCGCGCCATTGCACTCCAGCCTGGGTAACAAGGGCGAAACTCCGTCTCAAAAAAAAAAAAAAAAAAAGAAAGAAATCCAAATCTGTATCCAGTCGGTGACATGTTCACATGGAGAGGAACTATTCTAGGTGACCTTAAAACACAAGGCCAGGCACAGTGGCTTACACCTATAATCCCAGCATTTTAGGAGGCCAAGGCAGGAGAACGGCTTGAGGCCAGGAGTTTGAGACCAGCCTGGGCAACGTGAGGATACCCCATCTCTACAAAAATAAATGAGCTGGGTGTGGTGGCAGGCACCTGTGGTCCCCGCTACTCGGAAGGCAGCAGTGGAGGTTGGAGTGAGCCTAGGAAGTCGAGGCTGCAGTGAACCATGACTGTGCCAAATTGCGGTGCCAGACTAAGTCCTTGTCTAAAAAAAAAAATCCACAGTCATCTGAATGTACATCCCTGGACCGAGGTTTCTAGTGATTGTATCATTGGGATTGCGTCGCGATTGTTATTCTGGGACTGTGACATAAAGCAAATGAATATCTCTGCCAGTGTAGTTGGGAAGCTGGATATTTTTTTTTTTTATGTTTGTTGGTGTCTGATTGTCTTCAAAGATAACCTGGATTTTAAGACTGCGAATCTAGGCCAGGCGTGGTGGCTCAGGCCTGTAATCCCAGCACTCTGGGAGGCCAAGGCAGGTGGATCACCTCAGGTCAGGAGTTCGAGACCAGCCCGGCCAACATGGTGAAATCACATCTCTACTGAAAATACAAAAAGAGCCAGGTGTGGTGGCATGTACCTGTAATCCCAGCTAGTCAGGAGGCTGAGACAGGAGAATCACTTAGAACCTGGGAAGCAGAGGCTGCAGTGAGCTGAGGTTGCACCAGCCTGGGCAACAGAATGAGACTCTTGTCTCCAAAAAAATAAAAAATAAAAAATAAAAAATAATTGATGAAATCAGTCTTACACATCTAGATTCTCACAGTCTTACACATCTAGATTGTCAATCTTTAAATCCCTGTAGACCTGAATGTGAAGTATCAGCATGAACTCACAACAGTTTATCTTGAAAAAAGAAACAATGACCAACCCAAGCAATGGGCACCCAGCACCTCGAATTGTGTCTTTAACACCATTTCCCACTACAAGGAACCAGAGTTCCTTGGAAAGACCGAATTGGATCAAGCCTCTAGGTTAGTACTGTCCAAGGGAATTTTCTGTGACAGTGGAAAGTTTATCTGCACCATCCAACTGGTAGTTATTAGCCATTTGTGGCTATTAAGCCTTTGAAATGTGACTGTTAAGCTAAATTTTTCATTTTAATTATCTTAAGTGTAAATAGCCACATGTGGCCAGTAGCTTCCACAGTAGCATCCAGTAGCCATGTACAACATGGCTCTAGATATAACTACCAAGTTCCAGGAAAAGGCAACAGAGGAACACGCAAAACACAAATCCTGCTTTCTCACCTAAATATTGCATGAGGGGAGGAAGAAGAACCTACAGATTAAAACAAACTCAAGAGATATATGAACCAATCAACTCTGGGGTTCTGGAATTTGCTTCCAAAAAATCCAGGTCTAAAGAGGGGATGATGAGCTGGAGTGAGGATCCAGATGGGTGACGGGCATGGGCCTGCACTGGGCAATGTTCTCTCCACTTTCATACATGCTGAGAATTCCCCACAGTAAAAAGTCAGACACAGGACTCTAGGATCAATCTCTTGCCCCTCCCACTTCTGGAAGAGCAGGGGAAAAGTGGCCTAGAGCGGAGATATTTCACACTTACACATGAAATACTGGAAGGCCTTGGACTTCACAAGGATATTAATGCCTATTTGAAGAAAAGACATGGTAAAATGTAAATTTACGCACATGTTCCCCCTACCGAGTCCTTTATTATTATTGTCTCCTTCCGGGCAGGTGCAGCCACCTACCACATTCTTCATGCATGTAGGTAAGCATGGTCTTTAGCCCAGAGCTGAAGGAAGGAGGGTCCTTCTCAAAGAGTGGTACCCACACTTCTGCTCAGACCCCCAGACAAGACTGCACTGACTATAGCTGCTCTGGGGAGAGCCGGAGCAACCTGGAACTGAGAGCAGGACAAAGCTCTGCTGACCACTGCTGAAACTGGCATGAAATTAAGGGGTAATTGTCAGGTACATAATATGAGCCCCCAATTTCAAATTTTCAAACTTTACACTACACAAGCATTATTCGAGAGGTCATGCAAAGTAAGTATACATCCTGCCATAACAGAAGGGTAAAAATACTGGATCAAAAGGCAGATTACAGAACAGAATACATGTCACCCTTAAAAAAATGCACAGAAAAACAGCACAGAGGGAAACACATTAGAGAATTAACAGTGGTTATCTCTGGGTGTAAATTTCCATTTACTTCTAATTATCTTGGAAGTTTCTTCAATGAGTATCTTTGCTTTTGTAAGAAAAAAAAAAAATTCCCCAAATGTCTTGGTTGGGTGAAGCTGCCCATTTTGGTTGGGTTAAGTTACCCATTTCTCTCCTCATCTGTTTCCTACCACACTTATGCCCCTGCTGGGGTAATCACACTGTCTTCACACAGACATTCAGAAACACATACCCACCCATCCACCCACCCTCTGAACCTGCTCCTCAGATGCTCATCTGTGGTCTCTGAAAACCTCCAGCTGCAAGCACCTTCCATATTCAAGCCCACTTGCCTTTGAAGATGAGGAGCGCCGTTCTGGGAAGCTCATCAAACCAGTGCTCTCTGTTTTTCTTGGCCTGGCAGACAACAGGACCAGGAGGGAGGGTGTCAGGGCCAAGGACCAGAGCCCAGCCCTGGAACCAGGATGCTGGCTTCCTTTGCTGTTCACCCTGCTAAACTGGGGAACAACGTTAGCCTTCAGGGATCTACATGGGAGCACAGCCAGCCAGTGTGTACCGAGTGTTTACAATGTGCCATGCAGGGGCATTATTTTTGTATAACCCTGAAGATAGCTCTGTTGGTAGGGATTATCATTACGCCTCTTCCCAGGTAAGACAAGCCTCAGAAAGGCTCGTTAACCTGCCTGATGTCGCACAGTGACTAACGGGGTCTACGTGAGATTTGGTGCTGTTAACCATGACACTGCATCACAAATGTAAGGGCAGATATGGGGGCTGGGGGCCACCTGTGATCCCTGAAGTATACCATGCCAAGCTGAGGGCTGAGCTGCGCTAGCAAGGAGAGAGCTGGACCCCGGGGTGCCCCTGCTTACTGCTCCGCTTGGAGATCTGTCTGTCCACTCCTTCTATGGTCTCAGAGGAGCACTCACCTTCCACTTCAAAGCAGCAACTTCGTAGATATCATAAAAGTCCTTTAGGCTGCCGTAAGCAAAATGAAAAGGGACAAAAAATTCAGAATGCAGTTCCCCTGAGCTTCGGTTCTCTCACCTGCCTGCCTATGAACACCTTTATAGGGCGAGGGTAGGAGGAAGGGAGGGAACACCGTGTGGGTCCCAGCACCTCAGTGCCAGGGATCCTTTATCTGCAGGCGTTTGGATCTCCTTCACCTTGAGGTACTACAAATACATAATCCACTCAGTCTACACCAACTGCACTAACTGCAGACAGTGTCAGTGCCCTGGAGAGCAGCTGCTGGAGCACTAGGATTCTAAGGAGGACGGAAACTTCGCCTTTTAGCAGGGGCCTTCATGCAACACCTGGGGCTGCAAGTTCAGCTCAAACAGGGCTTGTTCTCCGCCCACAGCACACTGCTGTGGACAGGGCTTGGCCATCAACTGCCTGGAAGGCCAATTCTGCCCCGGGAGATCTCTCGGCTCAGCCAGCTGTGTGGGGGGGATGGGGGAAGTGTATTCACCCTTCTCTGTCCACCGGCTCACATGGGACTATCCTACCCCACTGGCGGTTCGAGGGCCAGCAGCTGGGCCAGTCCACTTCATGAGCCAATACACTCCTTTGTTCTCAACTCAGTTTGAATAGGATTTGTGTTGGATTTTTGTCACTTGCAAAAGGAATCCTGATGAACGCAGTCTGTCAGTCTACATGAATAAACCCATCTCTGTGGAAGAAACTGAGTCTCTGACAAGCCTATAGGGCCTTCACATGCCCCAGTTCACCCTAGACATGAATGCCTTGTCTGGCCATGCTGCGCCCACCAGGCATCTGCTCTTACCTGAGCAGGGGTGTGTTGTTCTGATTCAGGGCCTTAAAGGTAAGATAGCGCTCCCTGGCACTCATCCGGGGCTTGTAGAAGCGCATGAGGCCTTCAAACTGCCTGTAGGAGATGCCGGCGGGCCTCTGGGGGAGAGGAAGGGCAGTGTGGAACCCAGACCACTCCCCTTCCCTTGGGGCACCCAGTCCAGATCCACTCCAGCTCTGCTTATTCTCCCAAGGGCAGGGCTCCTGGTTTCTAAAGTTGCTGGCCTGGCCATCCGACCATGCTTGGGGGTCCTCCGGGCAAGCAGGGGAGGACAGGGCCCAAGCCCCTCCCCGGCCCATGGCTCCTACCCTCTGGCTGACGAGCAGGCGGTAGGCATGCTGGATGGCGGTTCGCTTGTGCAGCAGCAAAGACTTGAACTTTCGTTTCTCGATGTCATTGAAGGTGTCGAACACCACAGCCAAAAGCTGAGGGAGAGAAGCACAGAGCCCTGGTTCAGGACCTTGAGTGGTTGTGGCAGGGGGTGCAGGGGGGCACGGGTTCATCATCTAGGCAGAACTCATCCAGTCACTCCAGAGAGGCCCGGGAGAGACCTCTCTGAAGCACCCTCTCGTCTGTGCCTCAAGATGTAGGAAGCTGATCTCCCAAGTCTCAACAGAGGAAGGCACTTTGTTCTGCTTGTAAATGTTCCTCCTCAGATACATGAAGGCACTGGTAATCTCTCCCAGGCCCCCTCCACTTTCCCACACTCCCTTCCCCAGTTCCAGCTATGGCTTGTCCTAGGCTGGGCAGGGGCAAGCCAGGAGAGGAGAGAGTAGCAAGAGGGACACATCTGGGTTCTGAGCCCAGTCTGACTCCCGCCAGTGGCAGGAGGAGGCTGCCGGCCCACTGCCCTCCTGACCTCCGAGCCAGAAGGACCCTTCCTTCCCCTGCCCCTTTGTTACTTCTCTTTGTGAGTCACTGTGTCATGTGTGGCCCAGGAAAAAAGGGGATGAGAGGCTCTGCATGCACGGAAGTAACGTTCTAGAGTTGGCTGTGACCAAAGTTAGCTTATCAGAGGGGGATGGAAGGAGGGGGAAGAACTTGAAAGAATCCTTTTTAGAAACATTTTCTTTGTCTTTTAAACATGTTTTAAAAAAATTCTCTGGTCCTTTCCCTTAAACTGGACCCCCATTTTTTCTCTGTGGATCAAAGGTCACAGGGTACCTTTTTCTGTAAAGGGCTCGACAGCAACTGTTTTAGGCTCCCAAATGATTTCTGCTGCAACTACTAACCTGTGGTCATATCATTAGATCAGCCAGAGATGATACATAAACAAATGAACATGACTGTGTCCCAATAAAACTTTATTTGCAAACCTAGGCTGTGGGCCAAATTTGGCCAGCAGGCCATACTTTGTTGACTGTCGCCCTAAATTTTCACAGCTCTTAGTATATTATAAATTAAATCAACTACAAAGAGGTATTCAACATATTTCTTTTCGGTTTTGAGGAATTAAAAAAAAATATTTTCTCCTTTTTAAGACTTAAATTTTGGCCAAGCACGGTGGCTCACACCTATAATCCCAGCCCTTTGGGAGGCTGAGTTGGGCAGATCACCTGACGTCAGGAGTTCGAGACCAGCCTGACCAACATCAGAAAACCCTGTCTCTACCAAAAATACAAAAATTAGCCAGGCATGGTGGCATGTGCCTATAATCCCAGCTACTTGGGAGGCTAAGGGAGGAGAATCACTTGAACCTGGGAGGTGGAGGTTGTAGTGAGTCAAGATTGTGCCACTGCACTCCAGCCTGGATGACAGAGCGAGACTCGGTCTCAAGGAAAAAAAAAAAAAAAAAAAAGACTTGAATTTTTAGATTTCACAAGTGTACCTGGAGAAGATGATTTTCATTGCCATACTGGGCCTGCCTGTGGTGACCGGTGTGAGAATGCTTTGTGGAAGCATAAAAATAAACACGAGACTTGATCGGAAGTCTCTCCCCGATAGTCCTGTCATGGATGTGTGGTCTTGGCACCGGCCTAACAGCCTGGTGTTGGACGTGATCTGTGACGGCAGGGACATTCCTGGTGGCTGTTCACACCTCCACAAATACCCTCAAAGTTCCCTGAGCACAGGAGCTTTGCGTTCTCCTTCACAGAATGTGTTCTATCCTGGATTTTCTGATTGTTCCTCAGAACTGGGATAGAAATATGTAAGAAACACTATAAACAACTATAAACAACTAGTATAACAACTATATTTTTTGTTTGTTTTTGATATGGAGTCTTGCTCTGTCACCCAGGCTGGAGTGCAATGGCAGGATCTCGGCTCACTGCAACCTCCACCTCCTTGGTTCATGCTCTTCTGCCTCGGCCTCCCAAGTAGTTGGTATTACAGGTGCCCACCACGAATGCCCAGCTAATCTTTGTATTTTTAGTTGAGACAGCGTTTCACTATGTTGGTCAGGCTGGTCTCGAACTCCTGACCTCAGATGATCCACCCACCTCGGCCTCCCAAAGTGCTGGGATTACAGATGTGAGCCGTTGCACCTAGCCCAGTACAAAACTACACAGGTTACACATTGTATTAGATGTTATAGGTAATGCAGGATGATTTAAAATACACAAGAGGATGAATACGCACAATACTAGGCCATTTTATATAAGGGACTTGAGCATCTGTGGATTTTTGTACCTACAGAGGGTCCTGCAAACAATCCCCATGGACACTCAACTGTCTTTGTCTGCTGTAAGAATGGGAAGGTCCCCAGGGTCGCCTGAGCTTAACATCCAGCACTATCAGCAGCAGCAGCACTGCCCCAGTAAGGATGTCACCCCCAGGAACTGGATGAACTCCTGAAGTCCTGACAGGGCATTCCCCACAACACTGCGCCTGACTGTGAACCTAGGACTTCCTGCCCCAACGTTCTGCCCTGGGAGGTGGAAAGCAGTCCCCACTTCTCCACTCCTGTGGTGCCCAGCACTGCGTGGGCAGGGGCAGGCTGCTCCAGCATAGTACTCACCAGGTTCATGATGAAGTACAGCTCGATGGAGAGGTACACGATGAAGAAGACGCAGGACCAGGGGTTCCGGGAGTAGGAGGGCATCATCACATCTGGGAAACTGTATTTGTAGAGGGTGACCCAGCAGGCCCTGTCTGCCTATCTCCATCCTCTCAGAGAACATGAGGCCTTCCCAGCCTCCAACCCCAGTTCTCCTACTCTCATCCCTGGGCGCTGTGCTCAGCAGGCCAACTCTGTCTCCCAACAGCACCACAGCACCTGCCCTTGCTGGGATGTGGAACAGACTTTGCGGAAAAGAGGAGGCGACCTCAGGGCGGCAGCAGAGGGTCAAAGGCAAGGCAGAGCCTGCACTTACTTGGCTGTGGTCAGAAGGACAAACAGACTGACGATGCTGTTCTCCAGGGTGCTGAAGTACTATAAGGAAAGAGGGGGCAGAGGCGAGGTTGGGGCCAGCCAGAGCACACAGCCACCAGGAACGAGCTGTGATGGGCCACGTGGTGCGCCCTGCCACGCCCACTCCTGTGTCTCTCAAGGAATCCCTGAGGGAGGTAGAGGAAAAAGCAACCTGCGGTGCAGAGGCCTCCCCCTTCCTGCGGCTGAGGCTTCTGGCAGAAGCAGAATATTGGCTTGTGGGGTGTTTTTTTACCCAGGGAGTCACATGTCTGGGCCATTCGCCTGCCCCCCCACCCCCTCCCCAACCCCCCGCTCCTCTGCCAAAATGTTCCAATGGTCCAAACCTGATCCTGGCAGCACCCCTTTCAAGAACAGAAAAGGGGACCCTCAGCTCTCAAAGAACGCAGTGGTCAAGTGTGAGCATTGGGAACTCCCAGGTGGAGTGCACACACAAGCTGTGATGAGAAACCAGGCAGGGCCCCCTTCCCCATATGGCTACAGGGTCACACCGGCCACCCGTCTGAGCAAAAAGCCCTCCATAAAAGAGACAGACAAATGTGCTGATTACTTACGGGGTCTGAAGGGTTAGGGGAGAACAAGTAGAAACCTAGAAGCAGGCGGAAACACAGACAAACGAAAGGATTAGAGCAGAGGTCCCAAAACCGGGGTGTCAAAAGGACCAGACAAATACATGCACATGAACGCAGCGGGTCAGGAAGAGCAGCAGGGACTGCTGGGGACCGCAACACCCCGAGAACACGCGCTCCGTCCCAAGGGAGCCGCGACTGCTGGGGACCGCGGCACCCCGAGAACACGCGCTCCGTCAGAAGGGAGCCGGGGCTGCTGGGGACCGCAGCACCCCGAGAACACGCGCTCCGTCCCAAGGGAGCCGGGACTGCTGGGGACCGCGGCACCCCGAGAACACGCGCTCCGTCCGAAAGGAGCAGGGGCTGCTGGGGACTGCAGCACCCCGAGAGCACGCGCTCCGTCCGAAGGGAGCAGGGGCTGCTGGCACCAGACACTTGCCACCACACAGCAATGTGCTGGGCACTATCGGCTCTATTCTTTCAAAAGGCTGGAAGTTTGTGTTTTTGTGTAAGATCTAATTTTAAAATGCTGGCTCAAAGTTTTCAGACCAAACAAAACCCCTCTGTAGGCTAGATCTGGAATCCAGGCTGCTGTTGTTTTGCAATCTTAGGTTCTGAGAACATGACAGCTGAGTGAAATTCCAAAGGGATCTGCTGCTCCCCTGCCACCAGGGTCCCAGGGTAGGAATACCATTCACTCCTCCCTCCTGGAATGGGTCACTCCCTGAGTCCCTGAACTCCTGAGTGGGAAAAGGGAGAAACTCTGCCCTCAGGGGAAATCAGCCCCCACTCCTGGAGAAGCAGAAACAAATGAAATTCTACCAAGAGTTGGGTGGTGGGTGGGAGGAAGTGAGAGCCGTGACTCAGGACAGGGCAGTCACGAGGCCAGGAAGGGCTGGCCCCAGCTCCAGCCTCAGAGTCAGGACTCTAGTTCCACTGTCCTCACCATCTGCAGAATCTTGGTGCAGGGACCCTGACTTTCCCAGCCGAGTGCCGCGACCTCCGATATCTACGCCCTGTGACTCTGTGTGGCTGTCACAGTCAGCCCCATCTGAAAAACCAAGCCCTCCTGAGTGAGCAGCCTGTCACCCTGCTGTACCCAGTGAAGCTGACGCATGCTGTCTCTCAGGGCCCAGGCAAGCGCCTTTGAGAAACTGTCAAGCGTGAGCACTGGGAAACACACGGGAGTGCTCACGGTGGTGGGATTCGTGATAAGAAAAATGTCCAACAGAGAGCAGACAAACAAGCTTCGGCATACTTGCTCCGCTCCAGTGGAAATGAATAAACGGCATCCACATGTATCAACAGGAGTGCATTTCAAAAACACAGTGCTGATCGAAAGAGCAACGTGTAGAAGAGGACATCCATATTATATAACCACTTAGAGACGTTGTTTAAGTGTGCAAAGAAAGCAGCATCATTTCTTGGTTGCTTGGGGAAATGTAAATATGACGTAAAATAGAAAGATGTGCCTGGGAACAATAAGCTTAGGATAGGGGGTGCCTTTGGGGAAAGCGGGAATCACCATCACTAAAGGTTACAAACGTGCCTTCCATTTTACTTCTAATACCTCACTTCCTAAGCTGGATGGGGGTCCATGGGTGTTCATGTTATTATTATTAATTTGTTATTTATTTTTGAGACAGGGTCTTGCTTTGTTGCCCAGGCTGGAGTGTAGTGGCGCTGTCACAACTCCCTGCAACATCTCTCTCTCCATGCTCAGGTGATCCTCCTGCATCACCTCCCGGGTAGCGGGGACTACAGGTGCATGCCACCATGCCCAGCTAATTTCCGTACTTTTTTTTTTTTTTTTTTTTTGTAGAGATGGGGTCTCCCTGTCTTGCCCAGGCTGGTCTTGAACTCCTGGACTCAAGCAATCTGCCTGCCTCAGCCTCCCAAGGTGCTGGGACAATCAGCATGGGCCACTGTGCCTGGCCTACTTTTAAAACCTTTCTGAATTTCTAAAACTGCCTGCTCTGGTCTGAATGTTTGTGTCCCCTGTCCCCAATTCCTACACTGAAATCTTAGTCCCCAAGGTGACGGCATCAGGAGGTGAGGCCTGTGGGAGGTGAAGAGGTCATGAGAGTGAAGTCCTCCCGAATGGGATTAGTGCCCATATAAAAGAGGCACCAGAAGCCAGGTGCAGTGGCTCCCGCCTGTAATCCTGGCCCTTTGGGAGGCTGAGGCAGGCAGATCACTTGAGGTCAGGAGTTCGAGAGCAGCCTGGCCAATATGGTGAAACCCTGTCTCTACTAAAAATACAAAAATTAGCTTGGCGTGGTAGCGGGTGCCTATAATCCCAGTTACTCAAGAAGCTGAAGCAGGAGAATAGCTTGAACCCGGGACAAGGAGGCCCCAGAGAGCTGCCTTCCACCTTCCACTATGTGAGGCTGTAGCCAGAAGGTACCACCTATGGACCAGGAAACAGGCCCTCACCAGACACCGCAGCTGGCCCTTGATCTTGGACTTCCAGATCTCACAGCCTCCAGAATGGGCAGAAATCAACTTCTGTTGTTTATAAGCCACCCAGTCTATGGCATTTTGTTACAGCAGCCCAAAAGGACTAAGACACTGTTAACACTGTCAACTAATTTTTCTTCTTTTCCTTTTTTTTTTTTTTTTTTTTTTTGAGACAGAGCCTCACTCACTCTGTTGTTGCCCAGGCTGGAGTGCAATGGCACGACCTCAGCTCACTGCAACCTCCACCTCCCAGGTTCAAGCGATTCTCCTGCCTCAGCCTCCCAAGTAGTTGGGATTACAGGTGCGTGCTATCACGTCCAGCTAATTTTTATATTTTTGTAGAGACTGGATTTCACTGTGTTAGCCAGGCTGGTCTCAAACACCTGAGCTAGGTGATCTGCCCACCTTGGCCTCCCAAACTGCTGGGATTACAGGTGTGAGCCACTGCGCCCAGCCCAAAATATTTCTTCATCCACCGTGAACTTGCTTTTCAAGTGTGCCCGGGCCCGGGGCGTGGGAACTCACCAAGGATGGCGAAGATGATCATGAAGAACAGCAGCAGCAGGAGGATGTCCATGAAGGGCGGCAGGGACTGGAAGATCTGCCGCAGGTTGCTGGGGAGAGACATGGGTCAGTTCAGGGGAGGCACCCGCTAGGGCGGGCCGTCTGGGACTCCTTGTCGAGATGGGAACCCAGTGCTTCTGACTCAAAATACTAAACCGTGTCACACCCTGGTGTGATATCGTGCTTCGTTTTTTCGGCAAGTGGCTCGAGATCCCCACTCAGTGGGTGACGGGGAGGAACTGGGGCAGGTGTGGCACATAGCCACCTCTACCTCGTGACAGCCCAAGGAGGCGAGTGCCCTGCAGGGGGCAAGGGAGCAGCAGAAGGCCAAGGGCATGGCCTTGGGCACAAAGGTCAGTTTCCAAGAGCAGGATGTGGAAGGCATGAAGACACTTCAAGGCCCTAGGGTTAGTCCGAGGACACGGCGTGTTTCAGTCCTGGGCCTGTTTCAAGGACACTGAGTCCTGTTTCTAGCTTTGAAGATGGGCACAGAGAATGAATTGCAAGCCCACTCTCAGCAACAGTAGCCCAGCCAAGGAATTTTCCAGACAGAGTCTTCCAAATTAAATTTTGGTCGTGGCTCGGTCCGGTGTGAGTTCAGTGCTACAGCCTCAGTGGAGGTGGCAGGAGAGCCTGCTTGTGTCACATGGGCACTGCTGAGCTGCCTGCATTTGGTTAGATAACACGCTTAGAGCGAGGACGCAGCTCTGGAAGGCTGCGGATAAGACGGGAAAGAGCCCTGGACCCAGAGGCGGCGAGCCTACACTGCGGCAGGAATACCGCCTTCCCTGCGTGTGGGTGGGATGGCAGAGGGAGGCTGAGTGTGCGGGTACTCCATCAGCATGCAGGGTCCACCTCATCACTAACTGACTCACAGTCTCCTGCCCCACTGGCCCAGAGGTCAGGCCACACCAGAATGGCGACTGTCTTCCCAGCTTCCCACCCAGGCCTTACCGCCGGACGCCGCCGCAATACCGACAGTCCACCAGGAAGATGCAGCGCAGTGCCCGGGTCACCCGCACGTGGGACGTCTGCCGTACCAACACCACGATGGCCTCGACGAACTGCACCACCAGCACTGAGGTCTGCAGGCGGCAGGCAGGGAGCACCGTCAGCCCAGCCGCCATCCTGCAGACCTGGGACGGGCGGCTGGAGAGGCAGCGCCTGCTCTGGCCTCAAGAGGCCTTCCCTCTCTCCAGCCCTCTCTCATACTTCCTGCCCACATCAGGCAGCCCCAGGAGAGGAAACCTCCAGCTGCTGGCACAGATGTGTGGTACCAGGGGAATGAGATGAAGGGGACGGCCCCAAGCAGCTTGACTGCTGGTATCCACTGGGGAGGCAAAACCTCCACCCTGCCAGCCCTCCATCAGCCAACCCCGCTCGCACCAGGGATCCGGGCCTGCCGCTCCTCTCCATCTCTGCTTACTTGGCTACACTCGCCCAGAGCAGCACACATGCTCCACACTCTACAAAGTGCCACCCTGACATGCTCCTACTCACGCCACTCTTTGCGGCACAGAGAGAAGACACACAACACTAGGGAAGGTGAGCCTAGGGGCAGGGGGCAGACAAAGCTGGGTGTGAACCCCGCATCTCTGGATAAACGTAAAACAGAGAGAGCAGCACCTCTCTCTCCAAGGTGACTGCACCAGTGCCTGGCATGTACAAAACACTCCATCACATGAGCTGCTGCTGGCATCACCAAGGCATCCAAGTGCATCACCATGGCAGCACTGGCAAGGCTGAGGGCATGGTCAGGACAGGGACCCTAAGGTCACACCTCTGAGCGTGGACTGGGTCCATGGTGGATTCCGAATTGTACCAAAGAGACAGGTTTGAAGGTGACATGGGAGAAGAGGCTGCAAGGAGAGGGACAGAGGGACGGACAAATCACCTTGACCATGGTCCGTTTATGCCGGATGAAGGTGTGGAGGCCCAGCCAGCGTAACTTCATGCAGAGTTCAAACACTACTACCATCAGGGCGAACAGTTCCAGGGTGGCGTGGACCTGAGACCAAAGGGTGTGGGGATGCATCATGGCCAGCCCAGCCCACGGCCCCTCCTTTTTGCCTGACCCTCCCAGGACCTGGGAGTGCCCCAGGACATCCTCCCAGCACACATCAAGGTTACAAAACCTGGCCCTGCATGCCGAAAGGCACAGCCTTGGTCACAGGGCTTTCCCCAGAACAACTCAACAACAACTCAGCATTTCTGAAACTGACATGCTGGTACAAACCGTGAAAAATCAGGAAGGAGCCTGAAGTTCAAAAGTGCATGCCACCATGCCCAGTTAAGTTTAAAACAAATTAGCTGGGCATGGTGGCATGCACTTGTAATCCCAGCTACTTGGGAGGCTAAGGCAGGAGAATCGTTTTCGCCCAGAAGGCAGAGGTTGCAGTGAGCCGAGATCATGCCACTGCACTCCAGCCTGGGTGACAGGGAGACTTGGTCTCAAAAAAAAAAGAAAAGAAAAACAAGATAAAATTTAATATCTAGCCTTGTTCTAAGAGGGATTTCATGTAATTTACAAAAGATATATAAAAGACACTAAGAAAGCTTGAGAAATAAAATCCAATAGTCAAACAAGGACTGTCAAGCACAGAGCAGCCCCTAAAACTCTTAATCCCCATTCTGGATAAAAGGACAAGAAGGCATGGAAAACCCTCAGCTGGAAAACCTTCCCAGCAAGGAAGTCAAGGGCTCCTGGGGAAACAGACTCAGGAGAGCTCCTCCTCCTGGGGATGGGGAGTTGTGGGGCCTGTGGACATTCCGGAGAGCAGGCGCTAACAGAGTGAAGGGAAAGGCGGAGGGGTTTCAGCACAGGGGACGGCATGGGGGAGGCGTGCAGAGGAAGGCACGAAGACTGGCTGGAGATGGGAATTTCTGGCATGAAGAGGGAGAAACAGGGAAACTGAGTCACGGAGGGCCTCGGCGGCCAGGCTGGATAAGTGCTTTCTAACTCAACAGGCACAAGCTTCCTTCCCTGCTTCTGTGCCTCCCACACACTCCTTGATAAGGGACAAGCACACCTGCTCTGGTCCCCACTGAATGATGACCGGGCCTGGGCATGGGGACATCTACGGGTCTGGAGCTGCCCAGGAAACATCCTTGCCCTCCCACAGTGTCCACACCCAACTGCTTTCTCCTCTGAGGCTGGAGATAGAGCGGTGGGAGTGTCCATTGGGTGCCCTGCCCACCCAGAGCCAAGGTGTGGACACTGGTCCTGAGCAGGGCCAATGGGACACTTCCCCTCCCTGGAATTTACTGGGGGACAGAATCCCAGAGAGACAGAGTTAAGGCCATTCACTCCAGCAGGAACACCAGGCATTTCTGCCCCCAAAGCCTCTATGACCGCCTCGTGTCTCTTTTTTAAGTCTGTTGGCAGTATCTGCCCTCCCAGAATGTTCCTTTTTGCGGTTCTGTCGCTTGTCCTGAAAGCTGTGGCTCCCAGTCTCCCCACCGGGTGTGAGAAGCATGTGCACTCACGTAGATGCCAAGCCGGAGCGCAGGGACAGCAGGGGCCTCGCACAGGGAGAGCAGCAGCAGCAGCAGGGCTGTGGCCAGCTCCATCAGGTAGAAGAGGTGATTGTGTGCAAAGAGGTAGGCCGCCAGCGCCTTGGCATCCTTGGGGTGGGTGAAGAACTTGTCATTGTTCTCGCCTTCCTGAAAAGATGAGAGCAGTGTGGGTGTGTGAGCCCGGAGACCTGTCCAGCGCCAAAGAGGAGTGGCGGGCAGGGGAGGGAAGTAGGTTCCAGACAGGCAGAGAGAGATTCAAGCCAGAGATAGAAGATGCAAGAAAATCAAAATGGTCTTCACAAAACTGCACACTGGTCAAGTCTCACTCCTGCCTGCTGATGGGCTCAGGAGACTTGCTGCTTCTTACAAACCACTTGGAGGAAACAAAGACTAAAAAGGTCCTGAGACAGCCGGGTGTGGTGACATCCCGGCTACTGAAGAGGCCAACACAGGAAGATCCCTTGAGCCACGAGTTCAAGTCTAGCCTGGGCAACACAGCAAGACCCCATCTCTTAAAAAAAAAAAAAAAAAAAGTGGGGGGAGCTGGGTGCAGTGGCTCACACCCATAATCTCAGCACTTTGGGAGGCTGAGGCAGGAGAACTGCTTGAGCCCACGAGTTTGAGACCAGCCTGGGCAACATAGTGAGACCCTGTCTACATATGCCTGTGTTGGCACATGCCTGTGGTGCTAGCCACTTGGGATGCTGAGATGGGAGGATCACTTGAGCCCAGGAGGTCAAGGCTGCAGTGAGCCAAGATCGCATCACTGCACTCCAGCCTAGACGACACAGCGAGACACAGTCTTTAAAAAAAAAAAAAAGGCCGGGCGCGGTGGCTCAAGCCTGTAATCCCAGCACTTTGGGAGGCCGAGGCGGGTGGATCACGAGGTCGAGAGATCGAGACCATCCTGGTCAACATGGTGAAACCCCGTCTCTACTAAAAGTGCAAAAAATTTAGCTGGGCATGGTGGCATGTGCCTGTAATCCCAGCTACTCAGGAGGCTGAGGCAGGAGAATTGCCTGAACCCAGGAGGCGGAGGTTGCGGTGAGCCGAGATCGTGCCATTGCACTCCAGCCTGGGCAACAAGAGCGAAACTCCGTCTCAAAAAAAAAAAAAAAAAAAGACAGAGAAAAAAGACCCTGAGAGGAGGTAAACAGAAAGAGGCACCTACAATCCCCTCAGAGGCCAAGTTCTCCCTCTAGGAGTGCCCAGCAGAGCGTAAAGAGCTCAGGGGCCTGGGAGGAACCAGATGAGATGAGCCCTGGCTTCCTACCCCTTCCCTGAGGAACATCAGGAAGCTTCCTTCATCTTTGAGCTCAGCTTCTTCAACGACAAAGGCACTAACATTAGTGATTCCTCCTGGGGCTATCGTGAAGAGAAAAGGTGAAGACATTTGTAAGGCACTTAGGGTGGTGCCTGCCACATGGTCAGCTCACTGCAGGTCTTCACTATTATCGTAACTCACATGAATATTACCAGGAAAAAAGCAGCCCGGTCAGACCCTGTAACACCCATCAACAGCTACCCAGAACAGGCGCAGTGGCTTGTAATCCTAGCACTTTGAGAGGCTGAGGCGGGTGGATCAAGGTCAGGAGTTCGAGACCAGCCTAGCTAACATGGTGAAACCTCGTCTCTACTAAAAATAGGAAAATTAGCCAGCCATGATGGCAGGCACCTGTAGTCCCAGCTACTCAGGAGGCTGATGCAGGAGAATCATTGAACCCGGGAGGTGGAGGTTGCAGTGAGCCAAGATCTGCACAGTGGCGTAACACTACTATACATGTTTACTTTACTATACATGTTTACATCACTACTATATGTTTACTTACTTCATATCCTACTTCATTTTAATTGACAAATAATAATATTATATGGGGTACAATGTGATATTTTGATATATTTATATGTTACGTATTTTTTTTTTTTTTTTTTTTAGGCAGACTCTTGCTGTATGACCCAGGCTGGAGTGTGGTGGTGTGATCTTGGCTCACTACAACCTCTGCCTCCTGGGTTCAAGCAATTCTCTTGCCTCAGCCTCCTGAGTAGCTAGAACTACAGGCGCATGCCACCACATGCAGCTAATTTTTGTATTTTTAGTAGAGATGGTGCTTCACTCTGCTGCCCGGGCTGGTCTAATTCTTGTATTTTTAGTAGAGATGGTGCTTCACTCTGCTGCCCAGGCCGGTCTCGATCTAACTCCTGAGCTCAAGTCATCCACCTACCTCGGCCTTCCAAAGTGATGGGATTACAGGTGTAAGCCACCGTGCCTGGCCCATTCTCACAAACTTATTCTGGGGAAGTCCCTGCCTGTAGTTTGCAGAGTGACTGTGAGTGAGTCACTTCTTGAAGCTGGATAAATTGCTCCCCTCATTAGCAAAATACCAAGACCAACCGCAGACTTGGTAGCAAACCTGGCAGAGGCAGGCATGTCAAAGGGAGCAAACAGCTTGGCTGTCAACAGAGGGTAAGTTGAACACAGTTCTGTGCTCTGTATACGGCTGTGGTTTTCACTACCACCTCCACGGCCACGGCAGGTGGGCAGGGGGTCACACACAGTGGCCTGAGAAGCATCTGGTTTGAATATCTAAAAAAATTTACTTATTGGGCAATTTCTTCCAACAAATAGCCAGGAATGAAGGTCTTGCTACAAGAACCACTGACATGGGGAGCTGAGATTTTAACTCTAGGACTTGGAATTGTCCCAGAAGAAGCCGGGTGCGGTGGCTCATGCCTGTAATCCCAGCACTTTGGGAGGCCCAGGTAGGTGGATCACCTGAGGTCAGGAGTTCAAGACAAGCCTGGCCAACATGGTGAAACCCCATCTCTACTAAAAATACAAAAATTAGCCAGGCGTGATGGTGGGCATCTGTAATCACAGCTACTTGGGAGGCTAAGGCAGGAGAATCGCTGGAACCTGGGAGGCGGAGGCTGCAGTGAGCCAAGATTGCACCACTGTACTCCAGCCTGGGTGACAAAGCAAGATTCTGTGTCAAAAAGAAAAAAAAAAAAAAAAAAAAAAGAAGGAATTGTCCCAGAAGAGACGAGGGAAATGAGGTCTCCACTAACAGATGGAAATATTACCCATGGCCCTGGGTCATGATGAAAACCCCAGAGAACACTGGCCCTATTTCCTGGATGCTGATCATACATTAGATTTGGAAAAATAAGGAAGGTTGGTTGTAGCGACTTCTAGGCCTTTGCTCTCTGCTCCCTGGGGTCCAAGTCCAAACAGAAATGAGTACTGTTCCAAAGGCACCAGGACTGCTAAGCATGCGGCTCCAGAGGGTAGGTGAGTTAACAGGTAAAATGTGGGAGGAGAGGAAAATGCAGACACCAGACACCCTCAAAGCAGCAAGGGTCAATTATCCACACATACGAGCAACCTGGCTCACTACAGAGCCTGCAGCCCAGCTACGAGCGCAAAGAGAAAGACCATCTTGGGCCTGGCACTGTGGCTCATGCCTGTAGTCCCAAAACCTTGGGAGACCCGAGCGGGCAGATCACTTAAGGTCAGGAGTTCGAGACCAGCCTGACCAACATGGTGAAACATCATCTCTACTAAACATACAAAAATTAGCCAGGCGTGGTGGCAGGTGCCTGTGCTCCTAGCTACCAGGGAGGCTGAGGCAGGAGAATCACCTGAACCTGGGAGGAGGTTGCAGTGAACGAGATTTCATCACTGTACTCCAGCCTGGGCAACACAGTGAGATTCTGTCTCAAGAAAAACAGGCCATCTCATCCTCTAGGAATAGCTGTCAATAACTGTTCACAGAAATCCAAGTTTTTCTTTAACTAATTTTTTTTAAATGATGGATTTTTGGTAAAAAAATAATTTAAACAACACAGAATTACAAGGCAGTAAAAATTCCATCAGCCAGAGCTAATCACCTTTAATCTTTAAACAACTTTCCAGATATGCATGGGTATCTGTACACACACATACCACATGCATATGCCGCTATATGACATCGGTTTGAAATGATCATACAACACCAGCTGTTCCATAACCACTTTTTCCCACAAATACATGGCCCATTTTCAAGAAGATGCACAAGGTCAGTTCATAAATGAGGCAACAGCACACACAGTAAAGAACATCATCTGGAGGCTAAACAGTTTAAATCTGGAGCACTGCAACTCCCTAGCCAGGTGGCCTTGGGCATCATTTGGCCCCCGAGTCTCAGTCGTCACATCTGTCAAGTGGGAAGTGATCACTGCAGCCTCGGAGGCTTGTTACAAGATTAGCAGGTGCCCCCTTAAAGTCCCATATTTTCATTATCAATGTCCTACCTGCTTAGGAAAAGAAGGAATGATCAGGATCCTTAGGGCTTCAACCATTCTGTGTCTGTGTTCTGACCTATCCCATGCTCTTATCCAGCCTCGGAGAAGGCGCTGTGCATAGGTGACCCTGCTAGGTCATTAACAGGTATTCCTGAGCTTGTGACAATATTCCTGAGCTTGTAACAAAACATTTCTGTTGCCTTCACTTGAAACAAAACGTGATTGTTTAGGTGAATATGATGCTGCACGAACATATGAGAAACAGATGATTGAACAACCATCAAATAAATGTCTACATTTCATTAAATCTTTTTTTGAGACAGGGTCTCATTTTGTCACCCAGGCTGAAGTGCAGTGGTGCAAACACGGCTCACCGCAGCCTCAACTTCTTGGACTCAGCTGATCCCTTCGCCTCAGTCCCGCAAGCAGCTGGGACTACAGGGCATGCAGACCACGCCTGGCTAATTTTTGTATTTTTTGCAGAGATGGGCTTCTGCCCTGTTGCCAAGGCTTGAATTTTACTGCATCTTTTTTAAATGACAAAACAAATACTTGCAGTGGAGAGCTGCTTCAGATAAGAAAGATTAGGGAAAATTATGATTCAGATGAATTTAAGAAAAAGTCTATTTCCTCTTCCAAACTCTTACTCACTGCACCCCAGAAATTGAAATCTGACATGACAAGATTGGCAAGACAAAGATTAAAATGCCACCATCAGCGGGGCCGTCAGTAAAGAGGCAATACATCCTGTGGAGAAGATTCTATGCTGAACACCAAGGCCCTACAAATTGTTGATGCCTTCTACCCGCTAATACCATTTCTTAGAATTTCCATTTCTTTTACTTTTCTAGCAAAATAATCCTAGATGTAAGGGGGTGGGGGTGCTAAGTATAGATTGTCCTTGGATTAGAATTTACAATAAGGGAAAATATTCAAGATTATCAGGTTAAGTCAGTTAGGATAATTTACCTGATATAATTTAAAGCTATTTAAATAGCCAGGTGTGGTGACTCACGCCTGTAATCCCAGAACTTTGGGAGGCTGAGGTGGGCGGATCACCCGAGGTCAGGAGTTCAAGAGCAGTCTGGCAACATGCTGAAACCCCACCTCTACTAAAAATACAAAAATTAGCTGGGCATGGTGGCGCGTGCCTGTGGTCCCAGCTGCTCGGGAGGCTGAGGCAGGAGAACTGCTTGAACGCAGGAGGCAGAGGTTGCAGTAAGCTGAGATTGAGCCACTACACTCCAACTCCAGCCTGGGTGATGAAGTGAGACTGTCTCCAAAAAAAAGCAAAAAAAATGCTTATGCTGTATGCTATGGAAAAAAAAAAAAAAAAGAAGACTATAAAATTGCAGATACTGTATGACTTTTAAAAATTATTTTAGAAAACAGATGTATTAATATACATTTTTTTTAAACCTGAAATAATGTTGACAGTGACTGCCTTAGGTGAATGTTTATTTTTCTTGTATCTATATTTATTATAATGAGGATGTATTACTTTCACATGAAAATATTTTTTTCAAAGAAAGAAAAATCCTAAAATAGCAAACAGGAATGCAGTGACAAGTTAAACAAGAATAAAGCTAAATCATTCAGTATGTAAAGAAGAATTCCCTCCTGAGAACGTGGCCTCCCAGTGTGCCCTGAGAAGAGGGAGGGTGGCAGGGAAGGCCAAGTGGACAGACTCTGGGAATAACTGTGGGGCTGACACAGCCCCAAACAGAGGTCTGAAGACAAGCCGGCGGTCTTCCCCTGTTGAGCACAGTCAGGTCAGCCCCCCCATCTTACGAACCTGAAGCTCACACAGGAGCAGCAGCAGCATGAACCAATGGTGGAACTGAATTTCTAGGCACCTAACAGAGCCCGGGCTGCCCTGCCCCACCGCCAGGTGCAGAGAACCGCCAGGGCCTGACTGGAGATACTCACCTGGAGGTAGATTGCTGCCTCTTGGTAATTCATCTCCCAGTTGTGTGCGGGGCTGGAGGAGGAACTCTCACCCCCAGAGCTGAGACTGGGTACCTGGGAGTCATGGATGGCATAGCTGCCGCCATCTGCAGTGGAAGAGGAGAGAGATTTACTTGGCACCCAGGCTTAAGAGCATAAAGACACCATTCGGCAGAAGAACAGCCTGGCAGTCCCTTCCTATGCTCATATGGACATCCCGTCATCTTCAAATCAACCTCCATGCTATGCACTGATAGTGGCAAGAACTAGCACAGCTGGTTACAAATGTTTTCCTTTCTCTTGATAAGTGAATGAAGCAAGTACAAAAGAGTACAAATTGTGTGCTATCTAACGTGTACGAAAGCGAGGACACAGGAAAACATAAATACATCGACTTATCTTTACCAAAAGAAACACAGGAAGGAAAAATGAAATGCCAGTGAAATTGGTTGCCCTACAAGGGCTATGAGGAACAGGGAAGACGGATCCTTTTTGAATACTCAGACGCTTGGAAACATATTAATATTCTACTTAGTTAAAAATTAAAAACAACTGCATTTGTCCCCGGGTGCAGGGCCATCTGTTGCTCTTCCCTGCTGGTGGCCACGCCCTCCTCTCCCAGCAAGGCTGGGCCATCTGTCTCGGCAGAACATCCTCCCCTTGCCCTCTGTCAACATTGTTTGGCTCTGGCTCACTCCACCCCTGGCTCCGGGCAGGTGACCTGGGCCTGGCAATGAGCCCCTCGTCTCCCTTGGGCCCAGGGATTGGTTCAGGCATGGCTGTTGACCCAAGTCCCGCCAGTGACAGCTGAACTTGAAACTGTCCCCGGGCCAATTAGGAAGGAGGGGCTTTTTCCCTGTTGTTGCTGGCGACTGCCTCCGCCACCACATGGGAGAAACTTGCCTGAGAAGGACGTCAGCAGAGAACAAAACAATAACCAAGAGATAACGCTGACACCAGCTGCATTCCTGAAATCCAGCTGTGCCTGAAATCTACCCCTTAATTTCCAAGATCCAAGCTGATAAAGAGATCCCATTTGAGTCTGAGTTTGGTTTGCCAATAATCCTGAGACTCTACTGACACAGGAAACGATGCCACCAAACATATGTTTGTGAATTGACTGGAAAGAAGTGAATCTGAAAGAGAAATCTGTAAATCCATATTGTAAATAATCCACCTGAAGGAATGTAAAGAATCTAATGTTTTGGGCTAAGCATGTGGCTCACAGCTATATAATACCAGCACACTCAGGTGACACGAATCATCTGAGGTCAGGAGTTCGAGACCAGCCTGGCCAACACGGTGAAACCCTGTCTCTACTAAAAATACAAAAATTAGCCAGGTGTGGTGGCAGGTGCCTGTAATCCCAGCTACTCAGTAGGCTGAGGCATGATAATAGCTTGAAGCTGGGAGGCAGAAGTTGCAGTGAGCCAAGATCTCACCACTGTCCTCCAGCCTGGGGAAGAGAGCAAGACTCTGTCTCCGAAAAACCCAACAAAACAAAAACGAATACTAGGATTTGCACAGTTTGCAGGAAGCAAATGGGTAAGGCTTACAACCAGGCAGAGGACAGCTCAAGGGCTGCTGGGTTGCAAAAGGTCCTTCTCTTGATAAGTGAACTGCCAGTCAAGAGCAACCAGGTTTAGCCACATGCAACTTACTTCCCCAACTCCCCACTTTTTTTTTTTCCTCCAAGACACCAGGTCTCACTTTGTCACCTAGAATGGAGTACAGTGGCACGATCATGGCTCACTGCAGTCTTAAACTCTTGAGTTTAAGAGATCCTCCTGCTTCAGCCTCCCAAGCAGCTAGGACTACAGGCATGCACCACCACACCTGGCTACTTTTTGTATTTTTATAGAGATAGTGTCTTTGTTGCCCAGGCTGGTCCCGAACTCCTGGACTCAAGCAATCCTCCTGCCTTGGCCTCCCAAAGTATTGGAATTACAGGTATGAGCCTCTGTGCCCAGCCAGTCCACCCTTTTTCTTTTCTTTTTTTTTTTTTTTTTGAGATGAAGTCTTACTCTGTCACCTAGGCTGGAGTGCAATGCCGTGATCTCAGCTCACTGTAACCTCTCAAGTGATTCTTCTGCCTCAGTCTCCCGAGCAGCTGGGATTAGAGGCGCTTGCCACCATGCACTGCTAATTTTTGTATATTTAGTAGACACGGCATTTTGCCACGTTGGCCAGTCCGGTCTTGAACTCTAACCTCAAGTGATCTACTCACCTCAGCCTCCCAAAGTGCTGGGATTACAGGTGTGAGCCACCATGCCCGGCCAACCCTACCGATTTTTAAAAACAGTTTCACTAAGGTGTGACACAATAAACTGTATATATTTTAAGTGTATCATTTGAGTGACCTACGTGCATATCTGCAAAATCATCACAACAATCAAGATAACATATCCACCACCCTCCTGTGCCTTCTTGCCCATCCATGCCCAGACAATTACTGATCTGCATTCTGTGACTATTACATGAATCTGCATCTATTATATTATTACATGATGCATTATATAAATGGAATCACACAGTATATATTACTTTTGTTTGGCTTCTTTCACTTAGCATAATTATTTAAAAATTCATCCACATTGCACTGTGTAGCAACAACAGTTCATGCTATTTCTTTGCTGAGTAATAGTTTGTCCATTTACCTGTTGATGAACAGTTAAGATTGTTTCTAGTTTTGGCTTATTTTAAATAAAGTTGCTCTGAACATTCATGAACATTCATTCCGGGCTTTGTGTGGACGTATGCTTTTTGTTTCTTTTGGTAAAGAACTAGAGATGAAATAGCTAGATCACATGTTTAACTTTTCATGAAACTGCCAAACTGTTTTCCAGAATGATTGTACCACTTCACATTCTCACTAGCAGTATGTGAGAGTTCTAGTTCCTCCACATTCTCACCAACTGTTGATATGCTCACTCTTTTTAAGCTTTTTTTTTTTTTTTTTTTGACAGTCTCACTCTGTTGCCCAGGCTGGAGTACAGTGGCACTATCTAGGCTAGCTGAAACTTCCACCTCCTGGGTTCAAGCAATCCTCTTGCCTCAGCCTCCCCAGTAGCTGGGATTACAGGTGCATGCCACCATGCCTGGCTAATTTTTTTATTTTTATTTTTAGTAGAGATGGGGTTTCACCATGTTGACAAGGCTGGCCTCAAACTCCAGACCTCAGGAGATCCACCCACCTTGACCTCCCAAAGCGCTGGGATTACAGGCATGAGCCACTGTGCCCGGCCAACTTAAGCATTCTAAAAGGTGGGTAGTGGTATATCATTGTTTTTCATGTTCCTTGCTTGAAATGTGCATTTCCCCAACAGTAATGTTGCACATGGTTCCATATGTTTATCATTTGTGTATCTTCTGTGAAGTGGCCAGATCTTTCACCTTTTTCTTTGTTGTGTTATCTTATTAAAATTTGAGAGCTCTTTTATACAATCTGGATACAAGTCTTTATCAGATACATGATGATTTGCAAATATCTTCCTGTTTGTGGTTTGTCTTCTCACTCTTTAACAGTGACTTTCAAAGGTCACCAAAACAGAAGTTTTACAAATTTTGATGAAGGCCAACTGATCCATATATTCTTTTCTGGATGAATACTTTTGATATTGTATCTAAGAAATCTTTGCCTGCCCCCAAAGTCATAAAAATTTCACATCAGGATAAGGAAAGGAGGATCACTTGAACCCAGGAGTTCAAGACTAGCTTGGACAGCACAGTGAGAGCCCATCTCTACAAAATAAAATAAAATAAAAAAGGTTCCACATCAAGGCACAGTGGTGTAAGCCTGTAGTCCCAGCCATTCAGGAGGCTGAGGTGGGCGGATCACCTTAGCCCAGTTTAAGCCAGCCTGGACAACACAGAAAGACACTGTCTTTAAAAAAGAAGAAAAAAAAAAAAAGATTTCACATCAATACCTCAACGTCTTGACTACTGTGGATTTACAAGTCTTAAAATCAGGTAGTGTTAATCCTCCAACTTTGTTCATCTTTTTTCAAAGTTGTTTTGGCTAGCCTGGTCCTTTTGAATTCCCATATAAACTTCAGAATTAGTCAACTTCTTTGTCCCTAATCTAGGAGTCAAAAAAACAAAAACAAACAAAAAAACCAGCCTGGGCAATATAGTGACACGCTGCCTATACAAAAAAAAAATTTTTTAAGCAAAATTAGGCATGGTAGCATGTGCCTGTAATCCCAGCACTTTGGGAGGCTGAGGTGGATGGATCGCTTGAGGTCAGGAGTTGAAGACCAGTCTGGGTAACATAGTAAGACCTCATCTCTACAAAAATAAAAATAAAAAAATTAGCCAGGCATGGTGGCATGCACCTGTAGTCCCAGCTACTCAGGAGGCTGAGGCAGGAGGATTGCTTGAGCCTGAGAGGTCAAGGCTAGAGTGAGCTATGATCATGTTACTGTACTCTAGCCTGGGTGACAGGGCAAGATTCCATCTCAATAATCATAATAGGCCAGGTGCAGTGGCTCATGCGTCTCTAATCCTAGCACTTTGGGAGGCTAAGGCAGGCTGATCACCTGAGCTCAACAGTTTGAGACCACCCTGGGCAACATGGTAAAACCCTGTCTCTACTAAAATACAACAGATTAGCTGGGCATGGTGGCACGTGCCTGTAGTCCCAGCTACTTGGGAGGCTGAGGCACAAGAATTGCTTGAGCCCAGGAGGCGAAGGTTGCAGTGAGCTGAGACTCCACCACTGCACTCCAGCCTGGGCTATAGAGTGAGACTCTGTCTCAAAAAATAATAATAAAAATAATTAGTCAATTTCTACTGAGAAAAAAAAAAAAAAAAAAAAAAGCCTGCTGGGATTTTATTGAAATTGTGTCAAATCTATTGGGGAGACATCTTAAAAACCAATGAACATGGTATATCCCTCAGTTTATTTTGATTTTGTTTAATTTCTCTTAGTAATGTTTTGTGGCTTTCAGTATACAGACCTGATACATCTTTTGTTAAATTTATCACTAAGTCTTTCATATTTCTGATGCTGTTGTAAATGAAGTTGCCTTTTAATCTCAATTTCCAATTGTTTGGTGTTAGTATACAGAAATATAACTTATTTTTATACATTGGCTTTCTATCCTGC